TTCTCATGCTATTCGTATAAAGGGTTCTCAGTAAAAATAAGTGTAAATATTTGGTATGGATATATTGGAAATTATTAAGTCTACACGAATTACCGGTTAAATTAAATGGTGAGAGAGTTTTACATTTTATTACGTATAATCTTCCGGTATAATTGGAAAAGTATCATTGCAAGTACAAGAAACTGCGATTTAAGTTAGATGGTGCTCCTCCTTCTTATATGAGGGCAAACTTAAAAATAAGGTTTCTAATTTTTTTTTTTTCATAGAAAATTACGTTTATAACATACTTCATTTTTAGAAGGATCCACATCGGTATCAGGTTCAGCTCCTGTTTCTGAATTAATACCATCTGGTCCACGTTTAGAACAAATACGTAAATGATCTACCCATTCATCATAACGAGAATTCCATCCAACATAATGGACATAATATCTATATCCTTCATTAACACAAATACAACTAATAACCTGCAATTTTATGAAAATAATATTATTTGAACTCTATAAAAAAATTTGATTTCAACAACTATTGTCCTCAACAATAAAATATTTGATAAAACTTTTATTTTGAAAATTAAATTTCAAAAATATAACATGCAAATGATTTAATTCTTTAATTCTAATTTCATAGTTTTTAAAATACATCTCTTATTCTCTTATAATATTTCTAACTATTAAGAATACATATAAACTGTAAATAACATTTGTAACATTAAAAGCTAGTAAATCTCTAGATTAAAGTTAAAAAAGTAAATGAAGAAATATTTACTTTTGCATCATAAGTGGTAGAATATATATTGTGTTTATCTCCATAATATACGCTTAATATATCACCTGTTTCCACAAGTCCACTCTTACCTAGTGGTTCCATTTTATAATTCCTAAATTCATTAAAAATATAAAATAATCATTCTTTGATTTAATTATACATGTTTTACAAATATTTCTCAACTTACACATGTGGAAAAGCAACTAATGGTTTTACATCTTTCTCATCTTTTTTCTTTTTTGTAGTTCTTTTCTTTTCAGGCCCACCATCCACTTTTTTGATTTTACCTTGATTTTCTACTGTTGATAAATTCTTAGGTTGAACTGTAGCAATATCAGTATGATCACTTGGTACTGACATTTTTCTTGATTTATTTGGTACATCTTCTTTAGATTTTGAACGTGTTGACTAACATTTTAAAAATATATATAGATTAATATAAAAATTTATTTATTTATTTATTTTTTAATTTTTTGGTTGAATTTTACATTTAAAAGAAATAATGAAACTTAAATTTAAAAATCTATCCATTGATTTTGGTCAATTATTATTAATTGAACATTAGCATATGGGTCCAGCATAAATAGTAAAGACATAATATAATTTAAATATAGGTAATAAGGGCTAATAAAACTAATGAATTACATTTTGGTTAATGTATTATAATTTATATCCTGTATACATTTTAGTGTTAGTTATGCAATATATTGCAATTTTAAAAATAAAATTGATTATAATTGATTAAAAAATTAATATGCTTTGGATATTACTATAAATAATTTATATTTTGAAATAAGTTTTCTCAAAAACTAAAATAAGTTTTTTTAAGCTATATTAATTTCAGATATTCAATTATATTTTAATAGAATATTTATGATTCAGTTATAATTTGAAAACCCAACATTTTTATAATTATTGATAATTTGTAATTGGTTTGAAAATGATTACAGAATAAAGTTATTAAGTTCCAACCGTCTCAAAATTATTAAAATACATAAGAATTTGTATTTATAATAAAATAAAATAAGAAATTTTACTTTTGGGACATCTTCATCTGGTTTTTTTTTATTAGAAGCATCTTGCTGGGTATTATTTGCGCCTCTTTTTGATTTTTTGAAGGGAGTTATTGTTTTCACAAATGTCTTAATCTGTTTCTTAATAGCTCTCATTTTTCTCACCCCCGGCAATCCAGTTTCTGTGGGTTTTACTTTTGAAATTTTTTCTTTTTTAGGAGCTTTTCGAATTGATTTTCCGAATAAATTTTTTGCGTTTTTTTTTTTTTGACCTTTTTTATCCTCAACAATTTCAGCATCAACTTGTTTTAATTCAATATTATCCTTTTTGTCTTCCTCTTTCTTCGATGTTTCTTTTAATTCATTTTTTATTTTAATATCATTTGCCTCCGTTATGTCAGGATCCAATTTACCTGATAATTTACTACGCGATGTAGCGTCATCTTTTTTATCACTTCTTTTAGATTCGTCGTTATTTTTATTAGAATTTTTTTCTTCTAACTTTAACATTTTAGCTGTTTTTTTATTTACTACTGTATCTTTAATAGTTTCGTTATCTTTAGATGATTCTGATTTGTCTTTAGTTTCTTCTTTCTGATTTTCAACCTTCTCAGCTGTTGATGAGCTGGGTAATGCCTTATCAATATCTCGAATGATACTCCGACTAAATCTATTTCGTGATCTTACTCCTCTTGGATAGTTGAGCATAGTACAACCAAGTTTACGATTAAAGTCCTCATAACTAAGCAAGTATCTGTAAAAATAACACAAAAAAATTAAATATAATTACAAAAGTACTAACCTACAATTTAAATACATATATTTAAAAATATAATTTTTTTTAAATACCACTCTGAGTCTTTTTTTTTTATTATATTGAACGATGATTTTTAACAATACATTTTAAAATTATATATAAATATTAATAGTAATATTTTGATAAATAGATATAATACATGTTTAAGTAATCTCTCCTAATGCAGAAGCTTCGGTCCTGTCTAATATTTTGTACTAAGTCTTTGGCGTTCAAGACGTCTTATGTTTTGGGAATTATCGAGTACCTAGTTGATTCCTGTTGGATTGATGTATAAATTTAAATTTATCTCGTGTTTTCAGGGAAATGTATTAATCTCTTTCTGGATGACAGGCTTTATTGTAAGATGCAGCAGAATACTAATTGTGCATTAGAAACAATAAAATATACCAGTAAAGATCATTGCTACGGCAGATACCCCCCAGATCTTCTATTGAGGAAAACAATATGAGAAAACTCCTAGGAAGAAATATTATTCACTTAAATATTGCTAAAAATTAGAAAATTGCAAGGAGACAAAAGAATAAATAGATAATAATAAAATAATAACTGATGAGGTTTGCAACACTGTATTGCTATTATGTTATATCATATTATATTCACCACTTCTAGTCCACAAACTCAGTATTGTATTTCATAACAAATGTTACACATCACTCGCATATAAAACAATAAGTACAAAATATACCAACAACTTGTCTCGTAATGGCGCACAAGGCATTCAAATATTACATTCAATATATAATTAGGAACGACTTGAATACCGGTAACGACGATGGAATAAAACGAAACAGCATGTCGTCATCCGTGGGAATAAATTTCCTATGCGAAAAAACGCTACTTTTCAGTGGAGACCAAACAGCTATTTATCTATCATTCCCCACACAACACTAACCTATACATAAACAATAATACCTCCAATGTGATTGCCAATCGTATGTTTATTCACATAGGAGGTACTTATACATTTTTGTAGAACGTCTTATACATAGGAGCTTAAATATTCACATTGGAGATATTCCCGAAACGTTTATGATTGGCCCTACACAAGAGAGATTATTTAATTTATATTTCATTAAACATGGAAGAAAGATAGCACATAGCACACATCATCAAAGATATTTTTTTTTGAATTTAGTGATATTAAAACCTTAATTTGGTATTTGTTCACATAGGAGATTTATTCCCACGAACGACGATATGCAATACACAAAGGTATGAAGAACGAATATGACCAACCACAACAAACGAAGATATTGATGTATTTATAGTAAAATTTACCCATAGCAATCCACAAAGTATAAGGATATCATTAATAAATAATTCATGAATATTAAAATTATTGATAATTATCATATCGAAATAAAAAAAAAAAATAAAAAATAAAATTATAAAACATCATAGTTAATAACTATAAAAAGGTTTATGAAATTTAGCAGAAGTCAATAATCTCATTATTTATTAATTTTAAAAAAAAAGCGATGTAGGCTGTAATTCTAAGTGCTTAAAATGTGACATTTTAAAATTTTTATGTTTTTCAAATTATGTTTTATAACAAGTGTAAGAAATTTTAAGTATAATATATTTATATAATAAAATACATCTTTGTTTAAAAATGTTCAAGATGTCAATGGCTATTATTTTTCTATGTTAATTATTTATAATCAAATAATTAATGAATAAGTGAAGTACATCAAGGTGAAGGGACTATGAAAATTGGAGCAATTATTATTAGCTGCTATTTGATTTCAAATAAGTTTAATTGAAAATAATATGAATACGGATTGATAAAATGAAAAAAAAAACATTTGACAAGTAAGAAATAATGTATTTCAATTTAATAAAAATAAAATCTTAAAACTATAGTTCATAAGGTAGTATCTTATGTAAATATCTATTGAAAGTTTAATTTAATGAAATCCAGTAGTGATGTTAAAATATATTGGAATTATTATATATTAAAACTATTAAAATTATAACATTTTATGGTTAAATCAATGTTAGAAAAATTTTATACTTACTCTCGATAAATATCTTTCATAACAATATGTGATTCTTCATGGCCAATTTTTATTGATAAATTTCTCCATTCATCCTTCAATTTATTGACTTTGTTAAAACCTCCTAAATTCATAACTAACTAAAAATAAAATAATGCATTTAATAATTTTGACCATAATAATAGAAAAATATTTTATATATAATACATATACATAATACTATAAGAATTATCCAGCTTCACCCATACGTAGATAATGCTTTTTCTAAATTAAATTCTGAATTGTATTAATTTACTTAATTTGATCAAGTGCTAAATAGTAGTAGTAACTGAATTATGAATAAAAAATAATAATGATAGTAATAATAATATTTACAAATAATTCTAAAGTTACAATTACGAGCATAACTTGTATAATTTAACTTTATTTTTGAATATTTACAAATGATTTTATACTGAGTAACTCATTTTTAAAATTACTCTTCTTAGTATACCACATTTAGTTTTATTTTTTGGTGTATGAACATATAAATGGTCAGGTCTCCCAATTCTAGAAAATTCTACATACAATTCAATTATCCAAGCGAAGAACAGCTATTTTCCAGATTTACACCACAATAAATTAAAGTCTATTTTTGTGCTTTGTTTATCGTCATTGTAAAACAAACCTTTAATGAAAACTGAACTCTTCTAAACTAAACTGAAAAATTGTTGAGGTATAATGGTATTTTCAGTAAAAATATTTTTTTTCCCTTAGTACATCCAATCAAAATTTTAGCTTCAATTAATTGATTAAATTTTTTGTAAAAGGTGACCTAGAGCCATAAATATAGGCTATATATATATATATATATATTTAAAATAGAAATTATAATGTATAAATAAGCCTTTTATTATATTTGCTCAGTCGATCTTTTTTTTTTTTGTAACTGAATTTTTAATATTATTAGAAATCAAATAATAATGAAAGTTAATTTATAAGGGGGGAGGGAGGCGAAAAAATATGTGTTTCCCTTATCCTGAAATCCCTAAATATGCCATTGAATATAATTAATAATATATATATGTTTTATATTCAAATTCGTTATATTATAGCTGTCTTGGAAGTTGATGCATTCGCCTTTTTTTTTTTTTTTTTTTGGAACTTTATAGACAATGATCTTCTGGCCACAAATGTGTTTCATTAGAATGTGAATCCGAATAATGAATTTTTATTTATCTTTTTTTGGTGTTAATTACATTTTAAGTCATTTTTTGAAATTTTTGGTCATTTTTACTGATTTTACAGAAATTAATTTCTTATCGATTCTTGTCGACCATTATGCCAATAATTTAAGACTTGTCTGATTTTATTTTTATTTTTATTTGATTTTATTTACGATTAAATTCGTAGTTGTCATATTGTGGTAAATATTATTATACCTACATAATATTATTTTTTCCTAATATTTGATTAGTATCTGATTTTATATCGTTGATCACAGTCGTACACTCGTTGTCACGTTATAGTGAATAATACCTATTATATCTAAATTTTATTATTTTTTTCGTAATATTTTCGAAATTACGAAAATTAAAACGTAGGTTAGTGCTCATCTATGCCTTCCAATCACTTCAGTGAACGTGGAGAGAAGTTTTTCCAAATATAAATATTAATAAACAGATAATTGTCATTCATTTACTTTTGATAACATCAAATACGCTTTAATTGTACAATGCTATTATTTTAATTTTTGAGTAATTTGTAAGCTTTGATAAATTTATAAAACAAATATTTGTATTTTTTTAATTTCATATTTTAAGGATATTTGTTTTAAATGTTATGTCATATTGTGAGTAATTTGTAAGTTTTGATAAATTACATAGAATGTTACAGTAAAATAGAGTGAAATATTTAAAAAAATTATTCTTATTAAATTAAAACAAATATTTGTAAATTGTTTAGGTCATTTTTTGTCATTTTTATGTCATATTTGCATCTTTTTAGGTCATTTTTTAATGTTTTTAAGATCATCAACTTTCGAGCCCTACTTATAATATAACCTTGGAGAATTAAAAATTCTTATGATATGATTTGAATTCTCACTTTTAGTGATATTTTATAAGGAGACATAAAAAAAACCAGTTTGTTTTATTTAAATAGGGATAAAAATAAAATTCCTTTCTCCCTCACCGAAGATAGAAAAAAAAATGAAAAATTGGGCAATGTGGTGACACTCAGGAAGGTATTTGGAACAACTCAGTGAAAACAAATTGTTAAAATGTTAAATAGTATCATCACAAAATGGGAACATAAAAAAGGCCTGTTCTTTTATATATATTTTATTAGTTATATGTATTAATAATAATAAAAATAGCTGTTAATATAAGACAATCAAGAGAAATTATAACAGAAACGTACCAGAAATGAGAAATAAATGTATTAATAAATAATAATAAATTATTACTTACAAAAATAAACTTAAGATATGAAAAAATAATTTTAGTAAGAAAATGTTTAATTAGAATAAAATTTATATAAAGTTTAGAATATTTTAATAACTACATTTTTATTGTATATTTTAGAGCTTCTTATCATTAGTATTTTAAATATTTACTAAAATACCTTAAATAATTTGAATAGATTAACATCTTTGCCATTAAGAGATGGAACTTGATTTATAGGCGTTCCTCTTTCATCCAAAAATTTAAATAATAGTGCAAGAAAATGATCTTTTCCTTCATCGACTTTCGATTCAGGAGTTTCCTAAAAATAATAAAAATAATAACATTTAATTTCATACATACATATATATATATATATATATATATATATATATATATACTGAAAAGTACACAATTAATTCTCTTAAAATTGATAAGCCTTATATACCATTTAAATCCTCAATTCAATATAATGTGATTGTCTCATTAAACACAATTTTAACTTAATAATGTAAATAAATAAATTATATAAATAAATAAATACAACTGATTCAGGCGTATGTCTGAATCAGTTTTATTTATTATACGCCATTAATTTTTACAAAATAAATTAATTTATTAATTTATTAAATGTTTACTGAGAGTACTATTGTTTTTAAATAAAGGTGTAGGATATCATGGCACACTTCATCATAGTGTGTGTTAGGAAAATCATACCATTTTAAATTTGTTTGAAAAATAGAACTGAACACTAGAACTGCTGGATTAGCTTTCAAATAAGAAAACTAATATTTTATCTATGATGCATTTATTTCAACTACATATTTCTTAGATGAATTAATTGGTAAAAATTGTTGTTTAAAAATTAATTAATTAACTTTATTTCATGAATATTTATGCTATAACATATCCTAGTCAGAAATATATATATTATTATATTAATAAAACCATACATCATTATCACATTTATCTTCATCATCAGTAGTTAAACAATTTTTTTCAAGACCAAATAGCAAATCACGATCCCAATGTGGAGGTAATTCATCCTTGTCAAGATACAATGTGGCTTTTTCAACAGCTACAAAAATAAATTAAATTAAGTTTTACATAAAATATATAAAACAAAAAAAAAATTACCAGTTTTAAGAGTAGGATTTTCCACTCTAGCACCAATTTCTTTTGTAAATTCTGTAATTTCTTTTTTTGGCACAGTATAGCTTTAGGTAAACAATTATATAGTAAATATTTATTTTAAGAAAAGAGCTAGAAAATCATACTTACTATTTTCCATCCTTAAATGAACGAACCAAATAGTCATCAGTTATATTTGTTTTAACTGAGGATTGTGCAGTAGGTGCAACTACCAATCCAGGAAACCAATTGTCTCTAACTTTCTTTTTATCATTAGATTCTACACAAAATACTTTTCCAATATCTTTTTCTTCCATGGATGAAATTTTTTCTTCGCTAATTTTCCTTTATAATAAAGAACAATATAAGTAAAATAAAATTTATAATTAGGATATAATATGAAATTTAAATAGTAAACCAAAAAGTAATTTTCAATTATTAGATATAGGTGTATATTAGTAGTTTTTTAAGTGAGTCTAAAATTAAACATTTATAAGGAAAATTGTTAACAGAACATAATGATCATGTATTAATTATACTAAATTCATGTTTTAAGTAGTTTTTATGTAAATATAAAAATAAAATATAAACTATGAAAAAAAAAGTTGTATAATAATTTATTATTACAAGTATTATTTAAGTAATCAAAAATTATGGATATTTATGATACTTGAATTTATAGATATTATAAGAAAATATAAATATCATTACTCAACACTTTTTTTAGGTTTTCGAATTCTGCAACTCTGCACTATATTAGTACGTACAGGACTACGAATATGCTCTGGATGGGTAAGAGGGAGTTGATCAAGAGTAGAACTAGCAGCAAAGTGTTTTCCACTTTTTAAACATAATGCAGTCCTTTTCAATGATGTTATATCACCATCATCAAATACTAGAAAATGACATAGTAAATTAACAAGGTTATAAATACATAGGACTAGCAATTCCCAAACTTTTTTGGTCACGCTACCCCTAAACAAAATGTAACCATGCCTCCCATGAATAAATAAATTAATATTTTTATTATTAAAATATAATCAAATTATTGTCGATCTAAAAATAAATATATGATAGTGTAATATAAACTATAAATATTTGCCTTGCGCCTCCTCTAATAAGTATTTGTGACTCCCAATCACACAGTTTGAGAACTACTGTATTAGATAATTGCACATACATACCAACAGTATATTGACTACAATCTTGAATTTTTTGAATTGTTGCTTGGCTAAATTCTTTTTTATCACCACATTTTACTTCAACAGTAGCTCCAACCTTTAATTCACACATAACATATACATTTGTAAAAATATATGTTTAATATCAAACAATTAAAATGTATTACTTTTAATTCTCCTTTTATCACATCATCAAAAACAAATGTAGACACTCCATTGGAATTTAGAATCTAAAAATAATATTTTTATTATTATAAAAGAGTTTGAAATTAATTACATTTTAATAACAATAATACAAACTTTGCATTTTACAATTTTCAATATCTTTTTGATTTTTGCTTCACAAAACGCTCCTTTATATTTGGCACTGACTTCTGTGCCAACTGTAAGAAAAGGAGGCTCGTCCAAATTCACCTAAATGTTTTATGTAAAATGTATTCATACGTGTTTAATAAAAAAAATTTATTTCGGTTACATCAATTAATAAAGCTCTCTAAATAGGTAAATACAACATTCTATAGTAAAACTCATGCATTAAATAATTAATTATTTACTCTAAATAGGATAGTTTCCTAGTTCCTAATTTCATAATTTCTTATGAATTTCTTTAAATATATAATTAATTTGATTATATATTATGTTTACGCTTACTTCTACATTTTAAACTAAAATTATCTCTAATAATACAATTTCATTAAATTTAATTATGTTTATGGATATAATTATGATATTATAACCTTTCATGTCTTAATAAAAAAATATTTTATTATAAATCAAAATATATATACATAAACATAAATAGAAGACTCTAGTTAGTTTTACATCAAACACTAACATGGTTAAAATTATATTCTTCAATTAAATACAAAATTAAAAAACTCTAATATTAAATATTTAAAAATATAATATCGATCACAGATATTTTATCACTAATAAAACAATAACAATTAATGCACCAATGATATACTTAGAATAAATATTTTGAATAAAAATAATTATTATAATAAAACAGTCAAAAGTTTTTAATAGAAAGTGCTTAAATTTTAATACATATACTACAAAGTATTTCTCAGAATTATTAATTCTAGGATTTTAATTTTGATATTATTAATACATTTTTATTAAATTTATTTATTTAAAAATTTCATATTTTTTTTTAAATATATATATATATATATATTTAATAAATGTGTACTCAATTACCATCAACCAAAAATATAATCCTGAGATACACCTATATAGTATAGGTAGATATATATATATATATCTATTAACATACATTTTATGAAACATACGACCATACTACATGCTGAGTTCCATTAAAGTGTCAATGGAATAACAAGTAGGTACATGTAATAGACCTCGTTCATATGTCATCTTTTTCATTCTGAAATCAACCCATGGATAAAATCAACTAGGTTCATTTATATACTTTTTCATTTAGTAAGCGCAATCATCACCAAGTTGAACAACCAAAACTGAACAGATATTATAAAGCAGTTGCTCCAGAATATATATTTAGTTAAATAAACTAAAGTTGCCATACATATACATATATTACTTACAATTCTTTCCTTTTTTTAAATGTTACATAACAATAGATTTAAAAATAATATTAATAACTGACAAATCAGTAAGACTACAATTAATAATAAATATATATTTTTATTATTTTAAAATATATTAAGTCCAATATGCGTAGATTTCTTCTATAATATAATTAATAAACAATAATTAAAAATGAAATACAACATTGATGTTAAAGTTTGCAATGTTTAACTAAGCTCTATAATGTTTTATCTGTATAAAACATTAACTCATTCAATTAACTAGACTCAATACTAAGAATTATTTATTATAAAATATTTTTTTTACTCCAATCATATTTATGAAGTATATTCTTCAGTAAATAAAAAATAAAAATAAATTAATTCTAGTATTATTTAAAAATAATCTTTAATTCAAATTTATTATCATTAAATAGTATACAGAAATATTATAATTCAATAATAAATTTAAAATAAGAATACCTCATGATAGTGAATTGTAAATAGTACTTAAACCTTAGTCAATGGCAACTCTAGCTCTTATGAAAATAAAGCTTGTTGAAAATTTAAGCCAATATAAATTAATTTAATAAATTAGTGAAAGCTATTTAAAACTAAATATTTTAAGTTTGATATAAGTGAAACCATACTATTATATGAATATATTAAAAATATTAGTAAATAAAAATGTATCAAAATTGAAATAGTTTTAAAATGATAAATAAATGAAAATAAAAAAACTGACAATTAATAATTATTAAATTATATAATTGAATTGTTACATTTAACGCACAAAAACTGAATACACCTAAAATAATCATTTACATTTTTGGCTTAAACTTTTAAAATTTACTTTTTGGCTATTGATTGTTTATTAATATAAATAAATAAGGTGAGGAAAGTTTAATCAAACGAACCATGATGAGTGGAAGATTTTTTTCTGGTATTTCTTGACAACAGTTGACTTCTCCGTTTTAAAACATTATTCAAACATTTAATTTGTTAATCTATAAAATAAATATTACACACATATATATATATATATTTTATTATACAGCTAATGATAAAAAACACTAGAACATTATTTTTAACATATCTTATTTATGACTTGTGTAAAGTATTGTTTAATATATAAATATTTTGGTTACTTATAATTTATCTTAAATTCATAATATATTTTAAATAAATTTATACTTATAAACTTATTTTATAATCAACTGCCATATGGATGGTGTAGTCTGGTCGAAATTTTAGTGGCCAAAAGTCTAGTAATCAAAATGTTATCCCTTTGAACACATTTTTAGTCAAAAAATATAATTCCAAAAATTTAAGTGATTGTAATGTTATGTAATTGAAATATAATATGATAGAAAAAATTTATTTTGAAACAATTATTGCTGTTGATTTTACAAACCAAATCTTTGTTTTTTTTTTTATATATGAAATTATTTATATTTAATAACATTCCTCTATGAATGCTAAGAACAATATCAATATTCATCATATATAAAAATGAATGCTGGGTTGTATGATCATTTATAGAACCGATAACGACTTATCGGTTATGCAAAAATAAAACTGTTCTTTAAAATTGATAAATAAAAGACTTTAAAAGACTAATAAAGCATTATCCCTTGATAAGTTATAGGTTCGATTTCGGATCTGTAATATTTGCAGAACCGTTTAAGATTCCTTATAATTTAATTTAAAATGTATTATCATTTGAAATTGTTATTTATTTAATTTTGAATAATTATTAATTTTATTTTATTTCATATTATTGTTTCAAGACATTTTAAATTTAAATAATTAATTGTAATGTCTTTGTCATCCTCGTCTAATGATTCTGATGAAGATATTATTCTTTAAATTTTTATAAATCTCCCAAGACCAAGGTGGTTTAGAGATAGGTCAAATCCATCAAATAACAATTAACAATTAAATTAACAAGACATGCTTATCTCTTTGAAAAAATAATAATCTCGATAAGAATAATATTTGTGTACTACTTAATACCAGATAATTGGTTATAACCTGATAATTTAATATAATTTATAATACTTTCATGAAACGAAATCTGTTCTTTAACTTCTACTATTTTACAATTGATATATTATCGGCCCAACAGTTTATTGAACTGTTTTCATGCAACCAGGCATAAAACTAATAACTAAAAACTTTATTTTTACTTTTGTTTATTGAACTGTTGATAATAACTGTAAGCACCTACTACAATAAACCTAGATAGAGGCTATATCTAGAAATGTTTATTAGATAAAGTAATCGAAAATCTAATGATTATCTTTACTTCAATAATTTATTATTTAACAATAAAATGATTTGATCACTAAACTACTTATTTAGTAGTAATTAATACTACTAAACTAGATCATCGAATAAATTACTTAGACTGCTGTCATATATGTTTGAAAAAAATAGGTACTAATATTATTTTAGTATTAAATAGATATTTAAGTATTACATAAAAATAGTTTTATTTTCAAATAACGATTCCCTTATATTTTTCATAGTCATTTATATTGAAAATGTTTTGCAATCTTTTAATACGTTAAGTGCCTCATAGTATTTGGTGACCATTGCCCAAGAATCTGTGCGAAATCAGTCACGCAATTACGTTGATCGACTAAGTATCAATATCGGCCCCCAGAGCAATACCTACCATTGTTTTTTCTACATACCAATTTATTATTATTATTTAGTATTAAAATTATAAATACAATTTAACCGATAACCGAATATTTTAGCGTGGTGAACGTGCTAATAAATACATACAATTAAATTTATAACTTGTAGTAATGAATAATAGTAGGCAAGAAAAACTAATTAATATAATGATGTGAATTCTTTGAATTATTTTCGATTATAAATCATATATGTATATGTTTATATTATAAGAAAAAGAAAACTAGTTTGGCAATACAAGTACTATATATCATAATAACTATTCAACTATTCAACTAACAATATAGATATACATAATTATTGTCATCGCCATCATCGAAAAATAACCATTACTTTGCTAAAAATAAACGAAAATAAAATCCAAGTGCACTATTGAAAAGTAAACGTTTTACTGACCACATAGTGAAACAGAAGAATTGCTCTGATAACCGAGTAATTTATAAGGTCATAAAGATGCCTATACAAATTGTCAACTACCCATTGACTGTGGCACTCGACGTGTTAATATTATGCATCCAAAGTGATGTTACTATGAGTTTTAGATATAAATTAATTTAACTAAATAATTTTGTTTTTAAGCACTAAATAATAAATACATATAAACATAAATTAATAAAAGAAAAAAAAATTAAAAAATACTCATGTATGTGAATGTCTTTGGGAAAACAACACACGTCCAAGCAGTCAGCTAAAAGCGTTCGTTTGGGCAACCTGAACGCGATGCAAGACGCACGATGGACGAACATTGCGTGTTTTATTATTTGTATACGTACCGAAAACGGTGGCGATATGACGGGAACCCGAGTCATTTGAAGATGATGATGAACCGTGACCCGAACCACGTAGGACGGCGTTTCGTCCGAAGTCTTCAAAGAATGGGAGCACAACAAGATTGCGGCATTAACGTACGTGCGTCGTTTGTGCGCGCGGTGTAGTGATAACGGACAACAGTTGACAACCAACAGTAACAGCCGGAAAGACGCGGAGCAATGCCAATGATAAATGTAATAGTTACAGAAACAATCACTGTAATAATACGTTAACACAAAAACATTAAATATCATATAAGAAGTACACACTATCACAAGACCGTCAATAGAAACAGGATTGCGAATACCATTGAATTCTATATGATATATATTATCATATAGAGTTCGATGGCGAATACTAAATACAACTGCTGTGCCATGGAGTAGACGGGCTTTAGTTTCTCTTTAGCCATGAAAAAAAAAAAAAAAAACGGCGGCGTACGAGTACAGCGCTCTAATCACGATTGTGGTACTGTCGGCACGAACGGTTCTTTGCAGGGAAAATGGTTTGTATAATCATATCCTTATCACATCAATAACCATGATCGTGATTATAATATAAATCTTATCAATTATTACGGAAAGTAACGGAGATTAACCATACCGTATATTGTTTCAAGCTTAGATCACATAATATATCATATATATTATATCGGCTGGTAAAAGCAGGACTATCCTGATGATTTGCGGGGCTCGGGGCAGAGTAAAATTGCGGGGCCTTAAATGTGGAAATGTCACTATCGCGCGCCAGTTGCATATTGGTACTCAAATGTGCGCAAATAATCTTAACAAATATAGTACCTTGCACTTACAACAATATGAATAAGTAAATAAATTTATTTATATAATAAACAATTTTACATGAAAAAAAAATGATATGTACATTTTTTTTGCTCATCAATTTAACTTTTTTTTTTATTGTATCTATGATCTATGAAAGTAAGGCCTATCAAACTGTGATGAGATCGCAAGGCCCGGGGCAAGAGCCCCGCTTGCCCTGCCCCAGAAACGATCTTAGGTAAAAGGCCAAAGGGTTAAGTGACATGGTGTAACTACGGGATAACCAACAGTTAGATCTTTCAATCGTACTAACATGTTGTTCTGACCATTAAGTAATGAGATTTAGTAAGTACAAGAATTTAAATTTTTTGTGACAAGTGACACAACTGTTATAAAAGTAGGGTACAAGCGCCTTTTTTTTTTTTGAGGGTGTAAGGCTATATTGTTAAAAATGTTATGGGTTAAACGAAAAATTGATGGCTCTTAGCCCCTACAATTGTTGCTTATCAACTTTCATAATAATAACATGATCTATGAGTATCAAACCATTTTTTATATTGATTTAAATAATTATACGAATAAAATTTTTTATACATACCTACATTGCATAACTGTTAAAAGTCTACTGAACAATTTATAAGCGCCATTTATCACAAAAAAATAAAAATAAAATTAGAGCTAAGCGCCAAAAGAAGGTAAGTTTAGTTAAATTCGTTATGATATTAAATGTACTTAATATTTCAATGTAATTAGTGTCAGACCAGAAGGATAACATGTAATAGAATGGAAATATATAATAACCTCATTCCTAATGCTTAAATAAATACCAAAGTGTCAATGCCAAAGTTAAGAAAATATGAACATTTTGTTTTTGCTTTCCTGAAAAGTAGTAAAATTGTCACTTAACCCCTTTTGCTTTTTACTAGTCGATATATCATGATGACATACGATCATATATGATACATATGATCTAAGGTTTCAAGCTTATTATCAATTTCATAATTAGTTGTTGGAAATAACAACTAAAGCCGGGTCCACACCAAACACGTCCCTACACGGTCTGCTAAAATATCTTCCTGTTGTTGGAAAATGTTTTTAAGTAGAAAGAAAAAAATAAATATTAATTAGATAGGTATGTAATAAATTAAACTATCATTATTTAAAAATAGTTTATAATAAGTCAATGACACATAATTTTATACAATGAAAATTGAAGTCAATAACCGGTAATTTAATTTAAATATAAGAGTGATAAAATATTTCTGTTGTAGATATATCTAATATTTCTTTATTCATGTTTATTAACAACTGTCTTATGTGTTTACTTTCTAAAGATAAAGTTTACTGTTGACTTGATCATTTTTTTTTTTAAAAAAATCTTTCTTGCAATTCAATTTTTCTTTTACTGCTTCCATCTATGATGATTTCTTTAGAACTTTTATGGTTTATCAATTTTGAAATTATTTTATGGCATTGCTTAATAATATATGTTTCATTGGTCTCTTCTAATTGTACTCGATTAACCATACCATATATTGTTTCAAGCTTATTTTTAATTTCTTCATTAGTTGTTGTATTTAAGTTTAATTTTTTAATTGTTTGTTTGAAACCATTATTAACAACTAATTTTTGTGTTGGTGGTAAAATCTGATTTTCATTTTGTGACTACCTGCAGTCTCTGTTTTTACACAGGCATGAATATATTTGCAAATATTGAAATAAACAATGTTATTCATACATGAGCATTTATATGTATGAGTACATGTTTTGCATTTATCGCAGGACAATACACATTCATTACATGATATTAATGTATTTTATATTTTATATTGTAAATTAACTTCTGTCTCTGAGCTTACCAACCAGTAATCGTCTACCTTCATTATCATATCTGTTGTTATTTTCAAACTTTTATGATGCATTAATCTGTTTTATTTTATATAATTTTTTTGTTTTGAAATTTTTATTATTCTTTCAAAAGTTTTATCTCTTACTAAAGCCATTAATGCATTAATAGAAAGGTCTAATTGTTAACATTGTTTTCTGTCTAAAGAACAATGTTTTTTTTTTATGTAATGCTTCTAAATACATGTTGTTATTTATCTCAATATTCTTCTGTAGTATTCAATCTAATGATTGGTTTGCAGTAATTTCAATGTTTCTCTATCAGTAGCCTCCTTTTCAATTCTTGATATGAGTTACATCCTTGATCTTCCATTATCTGACTTATGTATTGCAATCTTGCTCTTCCTCTATGGTTTTTTCCGTCGATTACACCTTCTAATATTAATAATAGCAGCCCATGGTATCTTAAAATATGACCTATTAATTTATTTCACTTTTTCTTTATACTCTTCCACATTGATTTTCTCTCCGATACCCTTTCTTAAACTTCTTCATTAGTAATTCTATCAGTCCAACATATCTTTTGCATCCCCTGTAGCACTGCATTTTGAATGCCTCTAGTCTTCTCATTTCTTCTCTTTCAATAGTCCATGTTTCACATCCATATAACATAATGCTCCAGATGTACGTTTTTAGTAAATTCTTCCTGATATTAAGGTCAATGCTTTTTGAAATTAAAATATTTCTTTTCTTATATCCCAATATATTCCCTATTGAAATATGTCCATCTTTATACTCTGTAAGAATACACGGAGTTAAAATATTTTCCGTAGTTTTTTATATCTATATCATAATATAATTTCCACTAACAGTGTATCTATCTTTCCCTTTTCCACCAATATCCGTTTCCAGTAAATGAGTTTTTCGGATTGATGTAAAACATATATAAATATACACACAATATAATCAATGTATATTGTACTTTTATGGTATTTAATTGTATGTTAAACCGTGATCATACTTATATGTACTTGTATGTACTTTTATGTCGATTAACCATGATAATATCTAAATAATCAAATACTTTATGAACAAGTGAAAAGATGGCACAGTTTAAATACCTAGTGAATTACAACTACGTGTGTGTTAAAATAAAAAGTAACCATGGAAATAAGACACTAATACTAAAAATAACTTTAAATTTTTTATTGGATCAGTTAACAAATATCAACTAATTTTATATATAATTACAATCTACATAACTATGGTATCGTATACTATACTATATAATTTTTTTCACATTTTTATATCTGACCATTTACAATTATACCATAATAATTATTATATCGTTTTTTCACCTTTATAAATCTGACCATTTTTTTAAATAAAATTTAACATTTTCCATCCTATGTTGTATATATTATATAATGCCTTTACATTTATTAAATAAATAGTAAATTTTAAATAAAATTATTACTGTGCTATAGCTTTTAATTTAAGCGTAGCATACAATTGTTTTGGTAAAAACGGGCCAAAATATTAGTATTATTAATGGATATTCATTAAAAAAAAAAAACCAATTTTTAGTTATTTTAAATAATTTAAAAATCAAAATTAAAATAATATTAATATAATGATTAGGTCTTGGATTTAAAAATATAAAAAATATGCCCTTTCAAAAAATGAATACTACCTTCAATGTATACATTTGACTGATCAGTGGAAACTTCACTATTGTTCAGTTGAAGTACATTTTGACACTTTTTTCCATCATCTGATTGAATTATATTTGTTGCATACCATTCGTTATCGTCAATTAGTTTGAGTAATTCATCCACGCCATTCATTGTATTTTCAGCATTTTCAACTATTTTATCATTGACAGTAAAAGTCATTATATTATTTTCAATCTCACATTTTAGTTCTTCCATGTTTTGAAGCAACTGATTCCGTTTCATAAAAAATCGGTAGTGAATCTAACCATTTTGCAACATTTTCTTTATCTTTTGAAATGGTTTTGTGATTTTCATCATCACTTTTTACACATAACATTATTTTCCAGCCTTGGCGTATTCTCTAACATAATAAAAATTATAAACTTTATAATGAATATAAATTCAGATCTTGACTTGATAAAATTGTTTTAATTTTTAACTAATTAATGTTTATTGGTACCAAAAAGTGTTATAGAATAATATTTATACTTATCTGTGCGATTGTTTGATTTGAATCTGAATTCAAACTTCAATATAAGTTTACGTCCGCGTTAATTTTAAATTTCGTGCCGCTACAACTGTTGCGTAAATACTAATCACAAGTTGTGATTCACAAATCATATTACAGCAAGTAATAAACACATAAATGGCAAGAAAACCGAAATCGGCTATTATTGGTTGATCTAATATTATTATTGTTATTATAAATAGTAATACGCATATTAAATATCCCTATCAAAATAATATTATTATTACATTTTAATTTACTTTATCCACTAGCTTATCATTTTAAAAATATATATCGTAAACATTTTTACGAAACAATAATGTTTGATCTAAATTTAAATAACTACTACGTACTGTAACCAAAATGTACCAATGTCAAATGCAGTAACCCTAATACAAAGCAATACTATAAATAATGCAATCATAAATACTCGTATTATGTGGTCAACCGCTGTAACCCTTGACTAGGTCATAAATAAAACTAAATTAACTATACAAATAACTATTATAAACTTTTAATTCTTAAAAAAACTGATTCTCAGGTATCACAGAAAAAATAAATAATTATCTAGTACGTTTAAAAATGATTATATAGGTAAATAAAACGTTTAAAGTGTCTATTGTAAAATTATGTTTTTGTGGGTTATGACACTTGGCCTTTTAACCATCGATATAATACTGTCTGTAGTCCAATATAAAAATTATTTTCATCTGTTTCATATAATAATGATTTTAAAATTTTAAAAACAATTGTTTTTTTATCATTAGAGTAAATTTTATTTAAATTCTTCTTCTAGTTCCTTAAGACATGCCATGTACATACAATTATTTTATTTGCAGGACCCATTATTTCAATTCATTTTTCACTGCATGCATTATAAAATGCTGACTTGTCATCGGACATAAAAATAGATGCTGTAATGTTTCCAATTGCATTTTTAATACACTGGAAAAAATTTGCGAAGACAACAGTAAACTGATTTGTTTGATAAATAAAAACCAACAGGATAACTATTTCCATACTAGTCAACAACAACTATTGAATATAATTGATAATTGTATCCATTAAAGCTATGTGTGCCATCGATACATATTTTGTCATTGTCAAATTTCAAAAATAATTCCAATTGGAATTGTGTCATAATGATCAAGCAAAAATGATTTTTACTTAAACATGAATCATAATTACCATTCTCTCCCTGTGGTTTATAGTATAAAATAGGACTTTCATTGCCTTTAGTCATCATTTCATTTACCCAGATATTCATGCTTGTTGCATAATTGTCATAATTTTTAGTTTTATACGCAATATTAAAACTTTTAATATTGTGTATATCTTGTTTTTCCAGTAATAAATTAATTCTTTTAATCCCTTCCTCAAAATCTGAAGATCATAAATCCTCTATTATCCTATTTACTGATACTTTCAAAGTTAATTTTCCTGTACAAAATATTATTTATTGGCATTATAATTATTTCAATAAAAATATATGTACACAATAAAATTAAGTAGGTACCTACCTGCAATCATACTTCTATCTACAAAAAATAATCTTTGTTTTCCAATGTCATGTGTATGCCATAGATGAGTATTACAAAAATTTACTTTTAAATAATGAAAGTGAATTGTTAATTAAAATTAGAACGTTATTAATTAATAAAATTGTTGATTTTTAAAATTAAATTACAAAGTTATACGTATTATTATTGTTGTATGTGACAACGATAACGAAAAGCACTGATATTATTATTGTTATTATTTTTATTTTGAAAAATAACAAACTATACAATTTATAATATAAATGTATTTTGTTGGTGGCTAAGACGACAGGGGGTGACCGAGCACCCACAGACCCCTGAATCCGTTCCTGCTAAAATAAAATTTAACAAATCATTTTGTTGAACTAAATGGGTATTTTAGCAAATTAATAAAACTGTTTGTTAATCTATAAATTAACAAAATGTAAATTTTGAAATCAACAAACAGGTCTGTTGGCCCTATGTTAACAATGATTTTGTTGATTTAATTTTACCTAGATTTTTCTTTCTGTGCGGGTCATTAAGAGGTACGTACGAGTTGATTCCCAGGTCATTATATATTTTATTCATTATTTTGTAAAATATTCAGCCTATTAGCATAACCCAAGAAACACCACGAGGAGGTTGGCTGACAAGTTTCTCAAATATGTTTTTTTTTTTAGTTTTTTCATATTTTGAAAATCATTCAATTTTTATTTATTAATTATTTATTGAATTATATTATATTTAATATTATTAAAAACATTTAGTAGTATAATTATTAATTTACCTAATGGTAAAAAATTATTATTAAAAACATTTAGAAGTAACTAGGTAAAAAAATATAAAAAATTTTAGTAATTTGGTAAAAATTTGTAACACATTGTTTTTATAAATTGGTATCTGGTAATGAGATTACCAGTATACCGTGACATCTCTTCTCTTAAGAAAATTTGTTTTTCTTGTTGTTTTTTTTAGATTCCTTAGTTCCGTTACTCTGGCATTTAATATACGTTTCTGATTGTACTTCTAACAGCTCATTTATAAATACAAAAATATTTGGGTGCCCACTATAAAAACAACTGTTGAGCTTAGAATTAAAACTCTCACAACTATTTGTAGTTTTATTTAAAGTAATTGAGAATTGAGCCCATCGTGCAATCTATTGATAATTTATATACAACAATATGGAATCAACTCATACGTACCCTCTAATGACCCGGGAATCAACTCAACGGTGTCGGTACAGGTACGCGGGAATCAACTCATACGCAGCCGATTTAAAGGTTTAAATGAAGTCATGAAATCCAAAAGAGAGACCTCGTAATAAATGTATTAGTAACATTCTTAAGCCGCGTCCAGACCAAGAAACATTTGTCGTTATGTGTCAACAACACGTGTTATCGACAATGTTGGCGACAAAAATTAGAATTGTTTCTAAAATTTGTCACCGACAATTATTAACATTATTATCGACAAATTTTTGTTTTCCATCCGACGCGGGAAAAATTCGACAAAGTTTATAAAAATTGTCACTGACAATGAATTGACACGTCCAGACCGGTCAAATTCTGTCGATAAACATTTAGTAAATGCATTATATTTTATTTATTTATTTGGTTTTCGTTCAGTTTTGCCTTATCCGCCTACACGTAGTACATATTTTTATTTTTATACTCATTACTCATACTTCAATTCTCCAGGTAGACCAATGTTATATTTCTACCTATATCTATATTCAATATTTTCTATTTTGCTTATATATAATATGTTAAATTTTTGAAGTATTCCAGAGTATTTCCTGTATATTTAAATTATTTTGTTATGAATAAAAATGGTAATTGTAAACGATATTACAGTTTGTATTATAATTTTTTTTTTCGTGATAAAAAATTTAAAAAAAATTAACTTTTTTTTGGGCTTCAGTAAACAATATAGGAAGGAGCCCCGTCGGCATTTTCCGACTAAACGACAAACATTTTTATATTTTATTTTCTTGGAAAATTATAGATTTACAAGAAAATGTCCTACTATATAAGTATATATTTTTTTGGTATTGTAGTAAACCATCGGGTAGCAAACATCCGCTAACATTATATCATGTAGTGATACTAATGTGACAAAACCGAAACGGAAAACAATATCAATACTTACTCGTATTGATATGCAATTCCCACAAAACAGAGCCTATTTTCAATATCACAGAAACAAGCTTCCTTGTTCACATCCGTCAAAATCCCCTTCGACCTTACTCTTATCCTAAATGGCTGCCTATAAATACGGTATCCATTTACCCATACATTTAGAATAGTTGAATGATTTAAACTAGTGTTAACTAATTACTCCGCTTACTGCACCGACGCTCATCTGATCGTGAAGCCCGCGCGCCTCACATCGCCGCCAGCTCTGAGAGTCAATCTTTATTATTCTCGGCAGAGCTTAAATACTCTGTCCTCACACATTCAATTGTAAATTACTATCTTATTTGTATTAACTACATATTATATATATATTATTTTATTCATTATTATACATATCTGTATAACTCTAAACCATTGTGTTTTGTTATTTAAACACCTTCCAACAACTCTATATCACAGACGTGAACCGTTCAAGTATTTATTCGTCAACGGTGTATTGTGTCGCTTTCTTGCAGGCCGGCCCACTACAGTATTGTTATGCTCTACAATAAAAAATATATACATTTTTACTCTAAGCGCTATAGTTTTAAACATAAACTTTAAAAAACTAAAAAATGACAAATTAAAATCCTTTGGGCAATTATCAACCACCTTGTGCCACGTAAACATTATTTTTATAATAAAAAATATAAAATAATAATATTATTATAATATTTTTTATTTATGTTTCTTAAAAATTTGATTGGCACCCCGATAAAAATGTCTACTTTCATACATAAGGACCACCCTAATGTGTAAAGTTTTTAAGTTTTTTTTTCTTGCTTTGACTTAACTAACTGATATGCGTATGTATAAAAAAAATCTTTTTAAATGACTAAAACAATAATTACTAACGATGATTAACATAATTTTACTCTTTTGGTTTTAGGCTAACTCCAACACTATTCTTGTGTTTACTTACGTCTTATGAAATTAGATTGATTGGTAGTAATTACCTATCCAAATATTATACTAGGTATGTGCAGTAAGCCCGTTGAATAGGCTGACTAGATTATTTAAATAAAATAACACAACGACGATTTAAATTACAATATAATATTTTAATAATTTCTACACAAGTAAAGTTTGGACTTCAGTTCTCCACATACGGATTACCTTGGTATTTAACAAGAATAAAATAAAAAGTGAGGCCCCGAGTAATATATCAGTTATCCTTATATAATATACTAATATTTTATTAACTAATCAACACAATCCATATTATTAGATAAATTGCGTAATGCGTTAATACCCCTTAAAATTGTTTTATTCTTTACGTTAATTATTACATATGTCACATTGTTTTCATTTGTAATAAGTGTAATGGTTATCTTAAACTATTAACTGTCAAAAAAACTATTAAAATGGAAATTTCATATATTGAATGAAACATAAATATTATGGCAATTTATATTACCAAATACATATCAATACAAATTAAATTATTATTAAAAACGAATACCACCATACAGTAGCTTAACATTCGAGTATTGTTCTATAGGTATATTATACACACAGGAATTAATATAATACATTACATTTGTCTGTAGATCTTACAAAATTTAGATGATACAATAATTATAAATATTTATCCAAAGCAAAGAATAAATAGAGATAAGACATTGGAAAGTGATAAATTTATTATTGTTATCTTATCAACAATATTTACCAACGTTATAAACTAATAAATATTAATAAAATACTTTTTGTTTTCCATCTTATATGATTATAATATTAAACATAATGATTAAAAAATTAACTAAACCATAAACAATATGATACATTTTATTGTCAGATTTCAGAGAGCTTGAAAGTTCGTTAATTTTAATAAAAATATTTTACTTTATATATCATATATATACCTATGTAGTTATAATGTGGTCGAATCGTTTAAATTTTATTTTAAATTATAAAAAAAAAATTAATTTCTCATCAGGTTTTGGGTATAGTAAACCTTTGAAGTCAACTTGAACATTATTTTTTAACTCACTTCACTATGGAAAGTAAGGAAAGGTAAACTTAAAAAGGTTTTATAAAAATTTGGAAATTAACATAAGGTAGTAAAGAAGCAATTGTATGTATCTATTATTAAGTTTTGTAGATTTTGTTGATAATTCTATTTTTTTCATTGAATGTTATAAATATTTTAACAAGTTAAATAAAATTAATAACCATCTTTTATTTTCTTATTATATTGTGTATATTATTCTTGTAGTTAAGTACATTTATATTATTGTTTCAAAATTCCTATTAGTTAATCTAACATTATATAAATTCCTTATTTTAAATATTAAGCAAGGTATTCTTTAATAATTTTTCTCTAGTTTATAAAGTTCCTACTTAATAAGTTATCTTAAAAACTTTAATACAAAATGTATTTTTTAAATAGATTTTCATTACTGCTATTGGAACCAGGAGAGTATTATTTTGAAGATTACATTGCTTCATTAGCAATAGCCAAGAATGATGCATGGCTTAATGGACGGCTTAAAGTGTGTTCATTATCATTAGTATTTGATCCAAAGGACTATTACAGGCCAATTATAAAGATACCTTTTACGCAATGTGAATCCATTAACCAAAGGTTTCATTAGTTTATTTGATTTATTATTGTATATTTTTTAGGTTCTATTAAGTTAAAAGTTAAAATATCAATTTTGTGCCTAGAGGGTAGGTAACAGGTAACTTGGTAAGCCCGGGTCTATTCTGTTTTCAAATAGTTATTATTAATATTTTTTACATCATTATTATTTACTTTTTAATATCTTTTGATATCAATATTGAAGTTAAACAGGAGGAATTGCATTATATTATATTATATGATCATTGTTTTTAATTCAATTAATCAAAAAATGTTATGAAAAGTTTATGACAAAAAAAAATTAAAAAAAAAATGTATACCTATATAAATTTAAATAATTATAACTGAGTCTTATATTTTGATCCCGGGCATGACTATGTAAATATGTAGAAAATACTTTTTTGAAAAAATGTGTATAAATGGTAATTTATCCTAACGATAAATATGCAATATTTATTAGCTTGCAAAGGGAAAGAGAGAATAATAAATAAAATAAAATATTAATAAAATCTAAAAAATAAGCAAGAAATTCAATTTTTCGTTTCAAATAAAATAAAATAATCTTTATTCTTAGAACATTAATTTAACTAGTTATAATAAAATATAATAATTATAATTTTTATTATTTATTTAGTTCAGATGAAGATAAAAGTACATTAAATGTTATAAGTAAACAATATATTGAAATGTTAAATCATAATGTGTTGGAACCTTATAAATTTATTAATGTAAGTAGTTTTATGTTAGTATTTGAAAAAAATGATTTATATTATTTTTGTATTATGTTTATATATATTATGTTATATTTATTTTATACATATGAAAATGCATGTAAGATATTTTGTATAATTATTTTTGTTCGTATGGTATATAATTTATAATATAGTTAAATAATAATGTCTAGGTTTTCTTATGAGTTATAAGTTAGTATATAGTTTTATAAAAAAAAATTCTAAAAAGTTCTATTAATAAAAATACATTTTTTTTTTTTTTTAGGAAATATCAGTGTTCAGAATTAATTTAAAATATGCTAAAGTAGATGACTGTTTATCATTTATATTACAATTACACCGAGCAGCTTCTTTACAAACTGCAGAACATAGACATATGGTATAACATTTTTTTTTTTTTTAGTGTTATATATATTTATTTATACATACATTTTTAGGTTGCAGCTATAGCGTATGGTAGACAGACACTAATTGCATTTGACCCGACATGGTTGGAACTTGGTGAAAATATTATAATGGAAGTAGTAGGTCAAAAAATAACACCTCTAAGTATTAATCCTGGAAGAATTGTGTTGACTTGTTTACATGTGTATTTCCAACCTTTTAACAATATTGAAGTGGTAAGATCTTAAATAGTTGTTGTGTAATTAATGATTAGAAAATTAAAATTTTAATATTTATATATTTTACATTAAAGAAACTTATGAAAATTATTATGCGATTATGTAAAATATAATGTTAAGTTTTAATTTTACTAATTTTTTTAAAACTAATACTTTTGTGATTTATGAACAGATTTATTTCTTTTTAAATTGTCCAAGCAATCGCATAATAAATATAACTATTAATCATTAGTGTACCTATGTTATTTAAAACAATTTTGTTGTAAATTAAACATTTTATAAACAATTTTTATATTTTAAAAATATAATGCCTTAATGGTAGTATTATAAAAATAACAATTTGATAATATAAAATTAATAATAGGTATATATTTTTATTATTTTAGACATTATATTTAAAAATAAAGTTGTCTGAAATAAAACGAATCATCAAAAGAAGGTTTATGTTACAACAAGTTGTAAGTATTTATATAATTATGTAATTGTACAATAAAAATAATTGTGTTAATATTTTTACAGCACCTTGACTTATTATGACATTATTTTATAAATTACAAGATTATACTTATGATAGATATTTTCCAAATTTTGTTCATTATTATATTGAAAACTATTTCAGTTTTTAATATTACGGTATCCCTAAACTATTAATATTTATTTTGAATGAGTGAAGTTTTCTATTAACTTAATTGTTTTACAAGATGTATAAAGAGTGAAATATTGTGTCTGGAAATCTTCGTCATGAATCTTTTTCTTTAGAACTGTATGTATTTTATAGCATTATGCCTGTTTCCTTGCATGGCACATTAAATAATACCTACATTAGTTGGTTATATCATAATAAAACACAAAATTAATAAATATTATTTAGAGCACCTAAAGTATTTTATTTTAAAACTGATATATTTTATATTGTTGATAATTGTAAAAACATAAGCTGAAAATATTCTTTAGTATATATCAGTATTTTATAATTTAAAAAAAAATGTCTGTACAATAACAATTTATTTATTTATTCGAGCCTTTTATACATTTATTTTGAATACATCAAAGATTACAATATTTATGTAAACATAACAGTAGTTAAAAAAAAAATGAAATGTTTTACTTTCAGTTAAACTATTGTTAATTATACTTTATGAAAAAATAAAATATAAATTAAATTAATTCATAAAATTTTATTTATACTTTCAATATGATGTATTAAATTACCGAAATACCACTTAAGATTAATATAGTAAAAATTAACGATTTAAAATGGTTGTTTAATAATATAATTTAAGTAAAATCACTATAACAATTTTTTTATTTGTTATAAACAAATTCACATATCACAAATAGTTAATTAGTGTGTATGAAAATAATTTGTTTGATTATTTATTCATTTTAGTTGTACAACTTGTGTTTCTTTATATTTAGTGCCTACTCACATTTAGTATTATTAATATATTTGCTTGTAGACTTGAATTATATAATTTTTATAAATCAAATCTCACTATATTTAATTTTTAAATAATTTATATAAAGTAAAATATTTGATTTAAATTATTTCAGGGTTTAGAATTAGAATATGAACTAACTACTCAACTATACTTGACATTTAAAAGTTCTGAAATACGAGATAACTTATACAATAATTTATTAAATCAGTCAAAAGTAAAAATGGAAAAACGTGAAAAATGTATTATGACTCTGAAATGGCAATATGGCGCGTTATCTAATTATGATTACTTACTTTACTTAAACAGGTATTTATCCTTTAGTAAAAATTTATAGTAATATATATTTCCTATAATATATAAATTATAATATTTAACACAATATAACACATGTTTTATTATTAGTTTTCTCTACGTTTAACTAACTTGGTTATACCATATATAAATGAAAGTGTTAGTGTGCATATTTTATAAAATATTAAGGTATTTTTAATATTACTTGAGTATTTATAACATTTCAGTTTAGCCGATAGAACTTTTAATGATTTGACACAGTATCCTGTCTTTCCTTGGGTGGTAGCTGATTATTCATCGATTACTTTGGATTTAACAAATCCAAAAACATTTCGTGATCTCACCAAACCAATTGGAGCCTTAAATTTAGAAAGACTTTTAAAACTTAAGGTTTAATATACATACACACATTTATATAATAAAATTTAATATTTATTATTATACTAATTTAACCATGCAGGAAAGATACAATGAAATGAACTCGCCTAAATTCTTATATGGGTCTCATTATTCAACTCCTGGTTTCGTTTTATTTTATTTAGTAAGAAAATATCCTCAGTACATGTTGTGTTTGCAAAATGGCAGATTTGATCATCCAGACCGAATGTTTAATAGGTAAATATCATTATTCGTTATTGGTAGTACTTTCACTTTTAATGTTTTAACTAATAAGTTTTAAGCAATCAAATAAAAATTCTAGTTCAACTTTTTAAAATAATACATACAATTATAATAACTTATAATAACACATAATAATAGATGACATACAGTATAGTATAATTTATATTATTTTTTTTATTATTTTTAAAAGTTTATCAGATACTTGGAGAAACGTATTAAATAATATGTCAGATTTTAAAGAGCTAGTTCCAGAGTTTTATGACACTGATCAATGTTCTGATTTTTTAACTAATAAGTATGGTATTGATTTTGGATGTCGACACGATGGTCGCAAAGTTGGTGATGTTGAATTACCACCATGGGCAAACAGTAAGTAAATGTGTATTATTTTATGATAATTATTAAATTATTGTATTCCTTATTTCAATCAGATCATGTAGAATTTATTTCTAAATTAAGAGAAGCTTTAGAATGTGATCATGTGTCAAAAAATTTACATAATTGGATCGATCTTATTTTTGGATATAAACAAAATGGACCAGAAGCAATTGAAGCAAATAATGGTATTATTTACTTAGATAATTAAATGTATTAATTTATGTTAGGGGTTTTATATTTTTAGTTTGAAATTTAATTACTTATCTTCTATATCCACTTATATATTTCTTATGACAAATAAATTACTGAAGCATATTCAAATATGATCATCAGTTACATTAATACAAAAACCCTATTAAGGTCATGATATAAAATATTTTTATTAGTATTTATTAATATTGGTGAACTTAAAACTAATGTGACATGATATTAGTTATATTACAATTATGAATTATAGAAAATCTTCTAAATATTGTATTATTATTAGTGTTCTACTACTTATGTTACGAGGGAGCAGTAGACTTAAACAATGTTCGAGACTGGAACCAAAGACATGCTTTGGAAGTGCAAATTATGGAATTTGGACAAATACCAAAACAAATATTTAAAAAACCACATCCACCAAAAACATGTTTATTGATAAAAGATTTTCAACAGTTTGGTAATATATTTTTATTATTTTTTATTGTATTATTTGTTATACAATTATAAAAATTGTTTTCTAGGAATCATGTCAAAAATAGAGCAATATTGGAATTGGAATAAAATTAATGTATCAAAATTATTTACTACGACTAAACATAGAGATAAAGCCACCAGTGTAAAATTTACCGAGGATATGAAAACAGTTTGGTCAGTTGGACTAGATGCTATGCTTAAAGTTCATTGTATATCAACTCAAAAACAATTAAGAAATGTAACCGTGCGTGGATTTCCTGTTAAATTTAATGATTTAGTTTTGCCATCAATGTATTTATCAACAGCCTTGATTGCTACCATGCATGGCTCCTTGTAAGTGAATTAATGTCTTATGCAGTGTTTCTCAACCGGTGTGTCGCGACACGCTGGTGTGTCGCCGAGCAAGTCCAAATGTGTCGCGTGAAGTACTAATATTAAATGACAAAAAACATTATTAACACTATTAACTATTTACAAAAATGAATAGGTATTTGATATAATTTCCATGATAATAAAAATAGATTTTCAGCTATCGACATAAAATAAATTGTATTATTATCGTTGGGTTATTATTATCATCGTCATTTTGAACGATTAATCGCGTTCGAATCGCCTATTGTGTGTCATCTTAATTTATAAATGTTGGTTTTTGATATTTTCGTTTATTTTCAAACAGTGAATACGTTTAGTATATTTATACTGAAAACATACGCCGTATCAATAACTCACTTTATTTGTATGCTCAGTTGTCATTTACTTCTATAGTCGAATAGACTTTTTCTTAATTTATTAACAACAATATTTTTTTGTTACTAAAACCTAACTTGCAGAATTAAAAAACGATCGCACTCTTCAAATGAAATTTAATGAGCTCGAGCTAAACCAATTTTGGATTTACACAAAAAAAGAATATCCGAACTTAACAAAATTGGCTCATTCCGTATTATTACCATTTTCGACATCATATTTGTGCGAGGTAGCTTTTTCTGCTTTGAATGAAATTAAAAACAAAAAAAGGGAAAGATTAATTAATGTCGAAGAGGAGTTAAGATTCGCCTTATCGAAGATTTCACCACAAATTGATACATTATGTAAGAAATATCAGTCACAAATTTCTCATTAAAATGCTGTTTTACCTATGTTATATTTTTCTTTGTTGTTTTATATATTATAATTGATTATATATTATAAGTTTATATATTATTGACTAATTATAAATATTTAATACTATCTATTATTCTTATTTTTTTTACTATGTGTCGCAAAGTATGAAATATTTTAATAGTGTGTCGCCATTATACAAAGGTTGAGAAACACTGGTCTTATGTTTACTATTTATAAATTTTGTTAGTTGTAGGCTCTCATAAAATGAAGGAATTTTGATTTTATATTATTTATTTGTGTATATGCTTTGTATAAAAAAGTATATTTACCTAACCAATCTTTCAACAATTATTATTTTGTAATAAAATGTATTAAAATAAATGATTTAATCATATATAAATAATATAATAAAAGATAAAATGTATTCAAATATATACATTTTATATAAAAATGAATCATTTAAAATTATTACTTGAATAGTTTTTTTTTAAAATTATTTTCACAGGATTGTATATGATATCGATTGTTGTCGTGTAGTAGATGATTTTAGAGCACATGAAGATTCCATATCTAGTTTAGCATGGTCTAATAACGGCTTCTTGATAACTGGTTCTTTAGATTGTTCTGTGCGCATTTGGAAAACTCCACAAGTTCCTTGGACACACATTGAATTAATTAACTCACTTAAAGCTGAACTAGAACATGAAAATAAGATAACTAGTTTAGCTCTCTCTCAGTGAGTGTTTTTAAATAAATGTTATCATGTGAAGATAAATATTAATATTGAAACTTTAACTATGAAGGGATGAAAAATTATTGGCAACTGGCACTAATGTAGGAGAAATCTTTTTATGGTCTTTCCTTGACTATTCCTTCATACAACAGTTACCAGGTAATAATAATTAGGTATGAGTATATGATATAATAGTATAAAATGCTAGTTAAATTATTTATTTTATAGGACATGCTGGTAGTGTAAATAAAATGAGTTTTAGTCCTGATTGCTCAAAACTACTTTCGTGTTCTGATGATTGCAGTTTTAAGGTGTTTGATTCTCTTAGTGGTCTGGAAGTTTATACTAATACTCTAAAATGTCCATTAAAGTATGTCAGCATTTTTTTTAGTATACAATTAATTCTAAATAAATATATCATTAAAGATTATTTTTTTTATAGAAATCATTTTATTATTTTATTTGGTTCTTTTTTGATACTTATACAATTATTTTAAGAATTTTATTCGACTTAATTATAATAAAATTAAAAATGTATTTTGGTAGATCTTTAGCATGGGATGGATATCATGTTTTGGTTGGTGGTCAAAATGGAATCATGTATTTATGGGATTTAGAAAAATTTGAACTTATTAATGAAGTTCAAACACATTCTGGTAAATACTTTTAATATTTGTTTAATTTTAATTTATTACGATTTTTTATCTCTGTTGTAATGAAGTAATAATAAGTTATAATAATAATTATATAATAAGTGTAACGAATAACATATAAATCATTATAATAATATAATAAGTTATGTATTTCTTCTTATTCTACTACTTAAAAAATAGTTATGTGTAACTTATTTAAAATAATTAGGAAATATAAAAATTAAAAGTACATTATTTTAAATTTTGATTTAATTTTTATGTAGTGCAATTATTAAAATTACTGCCTAGTGATTAGTTCAAGATGTGCTATATTTTTATAATTCCTAATTTATAAATTTAAAGTGTACTGAGTAAAAGTATTACATTTTTAGACTCTCTAATCTAATACATTTATACCTGAAAATGTAAACAAAACTTTTAAGTCTTAAATTTTTGATTCTGTTATTTGTAAAAACTATAATCTTTATCAGAGAAAAGATTAAATGTAACATTTTACTATTAAATAAAATAATTATATCTATATTCTCTTTATTTGCACAATTTTACTTAAAAATATTTTAATTTAATAATATAAGTTTATAATAGTATTAGTTACAATTATTTAAATGTACTTCTGAATTCACATTATTTGATGATTTTGTTATTTAATATTTTGTAGACGGATTATTAGCTATTGATGTTTCAAATGATGGTAATATGGTAGCAACAGCCGGAGACCGTTTTATTAACGTATGGAAAATATCCTGTGATGTTTAAAAATTGTTTAGTTATATTAGTTTTTTATTGATATATATATATATATTTTTTTTTTTATTTTTCTATGTTCAGTAATTATATATAAAATAAACTCATTTATAACATATTGTGATGTAAATACTTAAGTAAGTAAATATATTAAATGTTTTTTTTTATAAATATATTTTTTTTAATTTTAAAAGATTTTTGTAAATTATTGACATTATACAATGTATGAACTACAAAATTTACTTGTAGTTTTGTATACATTTTCAAATAGCATCTGAAATAGATAAGTGATAACCTTAGCTAAATAATTTGGGTAAATGACTTATATTTTAAATAAAAAAACCAACTAAAATGTTGAATATAATATTTACGACCAGTTTACTACAAATCGCCTATGGACTAATGACCAACGAAAAATGAAGAATGAATAATGAAAAACATTTAAATTACTAACAAATAAATTAGTATATTTTAAAATTACAACTTTTGAAAGAATAATGAACAATATTAAATCTTATTTTATTACAGACAGAGGCAAATTGAGTCGATTGTTCACTTATTGAATAAAATTGTCAAAATGGGTCTAAATATCGAAAAATACTAAAATTAGAATATCTGTATGACTATTTTGCGGATAATATGATAACAAGAAAAAAGATTTTAATAGGTATATTATGTAGAGTATATGTTTTATCCCATATTTTTGTAATATAGTTTTGAATCTGATTTGCAAACAACAATAATTATTGTTTACTATTGGAATAGGTACATAATACAAAACAAAAAAAAAAAAAAACGACTAAGAATGAAACAGGTACATGAAATATAAATTTTCTGTAAATTATGTAATTATAGATAACGCGACAACACAACGAATGTAGTTATCGATAAAACGTAAATAGTTTAAATGCAAATAACAAAAATAAGACAGCATATTGTATAACCAATGGTATTGCTTTTTTTTATCTTTTTTAATGTTTGGTGTTGAGTTCATTGTGATTTGCGGGTACAGTGTACAACGGTGGCGATTAGAAAAAAAAACAACCATTATGATGGCTAACGTTGCTATACAAAAGCAATGATAATATTGTTCTGTGTACTATAGCAACGGGCGGGCGTATTTTTTGTATTCAATAACTGGGCACACAATCAAAACACGATTCTTTATTAATAAAAAAAAATTATATCCGATTCAAAACGGGTAAATATCAATACGACTATGTAGGGTCTAACATTGTGATTACTACCTACGACACATTTTGTATAATAAAATAAGTTAAGCTTGTAATAAAATCTCATTCATAGGAGTGATGAAAATAGTTAACAAATAACTCAAAAATAAAAGAACATCATAGAGTTAGCTTAAATAAAGTATAAAAAGATTACAGAATAGATTCATGAAGCATTCATTTCAGCGGCGGATTGGCTAAAAATTTCGGTCCGGGAAATGACTGTATGACCGGCCTAACATTCAATCAATAATAATAATTTTCCATAAAAGTCTCCTTTATTCATGGATTAAATGCTCATAGAATTGTTTACATTACGTTTACACTGGGTTTTTATCACAATCTTACAATTAAATACAATACACTTAAATACATTATTTTTATAAAATAATTTTTAATCCAAGTACATCGGCTTAGTGTTATAATACGACTACCAGCCCACCGGGAACTTTCCCGGTATCCCGGTGGGCCAATCCGCCGCTGATTCATTTAATTATTTAAATTCATTCACAGAAGGTATTAGTTAATTTTTAAATACGGACTCGGTCGTTTTGCCGCTATCCTATTTTTTTTTTTTTTTTTGTAAAACATCAATAAAAAAATGTTGGCCAGCCATAAGGGTAAAACACGATTGCGTATGTTAGTTATCGGCAATACCTTTTTAATAGGGTTGCCATAAATTTATAAGGCGAAATCGGGACAATACAAACACAATATTGAGTAATATACTTTTTATATAACTTTTAATATATTAAGAGGATCAGTGGCGTATATAAGGGAGGATGGATGTTCCCCCTAGGCCTTTTTTTAAATGTTATAAAATAATGTTTTTATTGTGAGGGCGTTAGAAACGTAAACAAAAAAAATAATGATTTGGTTGTAAATGATCCCACCTATACAAAAGTTATGTAAGAAAATGTTTTTAAAATAAAATATATTATATATTTATATGTGCAGTGGCGTAGTTACGGGGAGGGTGTAAGGGGTTTCCACCCCCCCCCAACAGATTTTTTTTTTAATGATATTTGATTATTATTTATTAATATTTATATATTATAGTAAAATATTTTGATTTTACTATGATTAGGTATATATTAAAAATTGAATAACAAAATAATTTTCATTAATACGGGACATAATAACACTATTTTAAATGTAATATTATTATACATGATCTCGTTTTAAGATATACTACGAACACTTAAAAACTTACTCTTAAACACCCCCCCCCTCCCCAGAAAAGAATTGTATCTACGCTACTGTATATGTGTAATTTAAAAATTATGCTTTTATTATATATTGTTGATCAATTATGATTAAAAATGTTCTTTGAGGTAAAATGGTTGAAATTAAAAATTAAACAATATACATTTCCTTTAAACGTCTAAGCCGGAACATATGGACGTCCCGAAAACATTTTTCTGAACACCGAGATGCGAAGTCTAAAACCGGTGACAATTCCAGTTTTCCAGGACTTATGGCAACCCTACTTTTTAAACTACACGATTCTGTACGATTTTACCTGATTTTTAATTACACGATTGCGTACGAAATTTTAAGCGTTGATCCCAATTTTCATATCGGTATTGGTGTATACCATATGTCTATACTTGAAAAATTTAATAAATACTTTGTGTTTTATCGCTTTTATTAGCTATGCTTATTGTTAATGATATCAAATATATCAGATAAAACGAAATTTAGTTATTTCCGTTATATTATACGGTATTTTTCGAGTTTTAGTAAAAGCAGGTTATAGACGTTAGGAAATCCAAATTTAAGCATTTTCAAATAATTTTATCCAAATAAAAAATGTCGATTTTATTTATTTATTAATTTCTTTTCTTTTATTTATTTATCCTCATTTTATTTATTATTTATTTTTTTTATGAATTATTATAGCACTGTTAGCATTCTATATTTATTAATAAATATATATACGATGAATATAATACGGTGAAATTAGTAAATTTGATAACGTTGCATACAATTTCATATGCAATCGTGTTTATTTATTATTCTTATCCACCTTTTAACAAATTATTCAATTTACACAATTTATTAACAAAATATTCTACAAACATACGTAATCGTGTTACTAAAAAGGACAAATGTATGCAATCGTGTTCTATCTGGTCATAAAATTTGAAATTTTGATATAATTGTTATATATTGTTTTTACTCGTGTGTTTAATGATATACAAATTTAATAATATAGAACTTGTAGACATTTAAAATTAATTTAAATTTATTTTATTTACATAAATATGAACAATAACATAAATAATGCACGAGCAGTTGGATAGGTTGTGCTCTTAAAAATCACCTTCATCCTTTGATGACTAGGTCGACATTGCTCACCAATAACCATTTAGAGTGAAAATAAATACGAAACATTTATGTTCGATAACAGTTAATATTTCGAATAAGAAGAACGGTATAATGTTTAACAATAAAATGTTTAATATTATATAATAGGCCTACGCGAAATCTGGACAAAAAGAATTTACATTTTAGATTCCGAGTAAAACGAAGAATGTATTTGTTTTACCATGAGGTTTTTTTTTTTAATTTTTTCGTGTATGTTAATTGTCCTAGTAAAAATTAACCTAATAACAACTTTAGGGGTGGTTTTCGATTCATTAGAAACTAAATAGCTCATTTTTTCAATTTGTCAACAGTTTTCCTTATAATTGCGTAAACACTCGATTTCATCAAAACGCTAATATTTTTTTGCGCTGCTTCGATAAATTTTTTTGTTTCACTAGAAAGAGCAACATCTCTAGTACACATCATATTACATTTTCAAATGTTAAGTATGCATAATAAAATGTTTATCAACTTTTAACTAACAAAAATAGGCAGATTTTGTGATTTTTATCAACATTTCAAATTCAAACGCTTATTTTTTAAAATTGTGACTGTAGATTTTTGAGATTTTTTCACACGAGCAAGAAAAATGTATGAGGAACATTTTATCAAAATTTCAAAATTTTATGGGTGATCAACATATTTTATTGACGTTCTACGAAAAAAAAAAAATAGAATAGCGGCGAAACGAACTAGACACTTTAAAATAGCAGCTACGAATAATTATTTAAAATTTAGTGTGCAGTAGGAAACATGTTAAGCGTCGCTACTACGGTACTGACATGTTGGACCCTTTCGTAACGAAGCGAAAAAGAACTGGAGTCTGTGAATAGAACTCTATTAAAATTATCCCAGACGTTTTCAAAGCTTATAGATTGTACAAGTTGTAATAAAAACATCCTTTTCGGTTTGGTCGTTGATATCAGAGTACAGAATACTTAAATATATTGGGAAGTAATTTATTATTTAATTGTTTGATAGTAACGAATCCTGTTTTTAGAGAATTTCCAATCTGTGAAACATTGGTTTCCCAATAAAGCAGCTCTGCTTGAACGCCAGTAGAAAGTTTACTAGTCCATCAAGATGCTCTAAATCATAAACATTTGTAAATAAAAATTGAAGATTTTGGAAAGTCATAATGGAATGCGATTAAACAACTTTTACGATGAGTTTATTGATTACTTATGTAAATAACTTCGCACGTCTGAGCATTATTTTTATAATTCAATTAATTGATACCTATGTAATATACAGCAGCGTATATAGGGAGTCCTAGTAGGCTACAGCCCCATCGAAATGTTTCAAAAAACTTAAAAATTATTTTAAACGTTTGTTATATTTTAATGGTGCTTTATGCTTATTTAGAATTTGCATCCAACGGCAAATATAACCATGTTCACGTGGTCTGTAACATTATTTTTATTTTTTTGATATTCTTTTATTTTGAATGGAATGGGACGTTCTGTAAATGAAATGTAGATAAGTATCTACTGTGTGTTGTTAGCAATTCTAAGATAGCTGTGGTAATTTAACTCTGTCTTATAGTAGCCCCTCCCGAAAATATTTTCTGTATACGCCACTCGTAATATAGTATGTTAAAATTCGAGACGAACATCCAAAAATAGTCCGATAAGAGAAACGTAGGCATTTAAACATCATCGATACCGGGAAATCTCCGTACATTTGGTAGAGATATTTAATAATATCCTGGATAACAATAAAACACATACAGCGTATATATAACGGTGACAAATTCTTTGAGCATACACTAAAATTCATTATTTTTGTTACCAACCATCGGATGGAAAACGTACGCGGTTTTTTTTTTTTTTTTTATATACAAATAAATATACCTATGATACAGATATATAATCTATGCGAGTAGTGTATACCAAGAAAGAATTCTTTAAAGTTTTAAAGCTCACGAGTAGGTGGAGATCTGTGCCCGTCCGTTTGATCACCGCTACGACAATGACACTGTACGTACTAATTAAATAATAATAATAATAATGAATGGGTAAATAATAATGATAAGCGCGTAAGTTACACGAGAAAACGATCGAGTCAATCCTGTTCTCAGACGTAATTTTTCGAATACGTTTATTAATAACAATCGAGTGTTAATGTACAGTTAAAGCTATCGGATGGTTCAACAGTTTTCACTTGACGGTGCGAATCGCCACGCGTAATTATGTAATATACGGTGTACGTAGCTTAGATTCGTGCGTACGGTCACGCGCGGTCGGTGTCGCGTACGCTTGTGCGGTAATTGGTAACGCGCACGCGCACGCACGGACCCCTACGATTGCGGCACGTTATCAGTGGACAACAACGCAGGCACACACAAAACACCGTAATCGTAACATTGGCGTACGCGAAGTGCCGCTGTAGTACGTCTTCCGATTTCGGCCGAGTCTAGATTACCGCGTACCAGAGCGGCGCGCGCAAGTTATTATTTTAGCCGACAACGTCGTCGTCGAACGCGTTTATTATTCGTATTGCCATTGTCGACGACGCTGCACCCGTTGCTGTCGTCTCTCCGACGAGGCCCGTGCGCCACCGTGTCTCCAGCTCGCGCGTCACCCTCGCCGACCGAGCCCGCGTCGTCCGCGGCGGCAGTGATGAGATTCGAGTGGCGTCCGTCATTCGTTGGACACGTCGGAATTCAGGTGATCATCGAAAACCGTCTGACCATTGTACGCTGCGCTCTATTTGTACGGTGCGATCATCGCGTCGGCATTGAGTAGCTGATAATATAGTCTTCTTCGATATTGCAACGTCTACTCGGTGCCCGTGTACACTGCCGTTCACCTTAGAGCTGCAACTGCTTCTGTTTTTTACTCGACGGCTATCTTATGTTTGTACCAAAACACTTAGTATGAGAATTTTAGTCAGTTATGACATATACAATGTACAGTGTATACTAAATTTGTAGTTTGTACTCGGGTATCTTAATTTTTTTTGCTTTTATTCTATCAGGTAGTTAACATTAAATTGACATTTCACTGTTAAACAAATTAAAAGCTCCTATGTTATTTTTGGTTTTTTATTTCCATAAGAAAAAAGGGAATATAAGTAATGTAATATTATCTATTTCAATTTGGTACAAATCTACTTTATTGGACACCCTTTTTTTTCCAAAATACCTGGTTTTTTATGCTGGATTCAAAACTGTTTGAAAAAGTTCCCGTGAACTTACCATTCAAAAGTTATAGAAGTTCAAAGTTGTCGATATTATAAAATTTTCTAAATAATTAACTTTCATAACTTTTGAACGGTAAGTTTACACAATATTGAGGGAGACCAAGGGTCACCAGAGGTGGTTTTACACAACAAATTGGGGGATATTTTCGATTTGTGGAGCAGAATGACGGTGTCGAGGAGCTTAGTGACGAGTGCTGAAACACACGTAATCACTGCAACTTTGAACTTTCATAACTTGAACGGTAAGTTTACGGGAATTTTTCAAAGCGTTTCGAATTCAGCATAAAATACCACGTATTTAGAAAAAAAAAAAAAAATTGAAAAATAAAGGGTGTCCCATAAAGTAGATTTATTCCTTCATTTAAGTCATTATTAATTTATGAGTACTTAAATAGATAAACGTTTTTGCTGGTTCATTGTAAAAAATGTTTATACTTAAGACATTATTATATTGAACATTATTAATGGACTTGGTTTAAATATTGTTATTTATAAAAAAAGATATTATTAAATTGGTTGTCTGTAAAAAGAATATTATTTCATATTTAATATGAAATAAATCTATCAATTATATTTATTTTTGGATAAAATAAATAAACTTTAAATGGCTAATAGTTTTTAATGTTAAATATTTTCTAAGATTAAATATATTTTTTTTAATTTCACAAATAATATTGTAAATTAAATGTGTTAATGACTGTGATGTGATTTTAGATGTTTTTGGAATTGAGTAAAACTTAAACCAGCCTAAAATAAAAATTCTAAGATCTGCTCTATAAATACATGGTTCCTTTATTTAATCCGGGAGAGGTGTCATCTGGGAGAGATGTCTTGTTAAAATATTTAATGAGAGGTGGTGTTGGTCTTTTTTACCAATATATTATAAGTTGTTTTAAAACAGAAACATTGGTATTAAATAATTTTAATTGAAAACAACATAAAAATGATAGCGTCCATGTGTACAAAAAGTACAGGAAATACTCAACTTGTCAAGTTTTATATCATTAGACAATCACTAAACTAAAAACATTTTCGGTCAAAAAGATCAACGACATATCTCCCGGGTTAATGCTTAACTGCTAATTATGTTTGGAAACTAGACTTATAAGATGCATGTCCAACATTTGTTCGGTATTTATTAGATAATTGGTTAATAACTTGAAGATAAGAAAAATTTAATTAACTATCAACTATCAATAATCATTATTTAGTTTTTATTTGGCTTTATTAAATAAATGTAATTTAATTTGTCCAGTAGTCATGATTAACATTATTTAAAAATTATTTTATACAACACTATATATATTGTACCAAGCCATTAATGTATCAGAATGAATTAATTAAAGGCTCATTTATACATATACTGATTGGGCTTTATGAAACCCATTTACCATAAAAATACCACATAATCTGGTATAGTTCTCAATATAAATAATAATTAAATATATTGTATAAATCACATATGCCTTTCAAAAAGTACTAAATAAAAATGAAGAATCTCATTGCCTCATTTACCAAAAAATCCTTTTTTTGTTACTTTTTTCTAAAAATAAAAACTATCCATATGAATATTTACTTATTAATTTATTGATTTTATTAAATTAAACTTAATAGCAAATATTAAAAAAAAAAAAAATTAAGTATTATTAATTATTTATGACATTTAATTTTATTTTTTTAGGATGATTTATGTATGAGCTGACATGGATGAATCTTACTTAAAAAATAATAGTTCAATGAAAACACCTAGACATTTTAATAGACAAGTTAAAAATATTTCAAATAAAATTAACTTTACTTCTGATGCAGAACTAATTTCCATAGATGAAACGAACTCTAATATAGATTCTAAATCAAGTCTGCTAACTAGAAAGCAAAGAATAAAAGAATACTTAACATTTGCTCCTAAAAAAAAGACAGCAACAGATTATCTATTAGAGGATATTAAGAATGGAGGATTAGATTGTTTGGATACAACAATTGATAATGATAAAAAGCCAGTAAAAGTTAAAACTCTATGGACTCGTACAAGCTTAATGGAAGAAGCACTCGAAAATTCATCATTTCTTCAAACTGAAATCACTTCACCTAAAAATAATTTACCTATTGAAATAATAAATAAGGTATCAACCATGGCTGTTACACCAGGAAATATTATAGGTAAGTCAAATGATATTATAAACATAAATATATTTGTTAATTCATAATTTTGACTTTATAAATAGTTGTAATGTTGTTACAGAAAAATATGGTACCTTAGATTCAGAACAAATAAAAAGAAAAAGAGGTCGACCAAAAAAACAAATTATTAGTGAAGAAAAAGTACCAATTTCTTCAAATGTTGATAATAAAGAGTTATGTGCTTTAAATACATATGATTTTAATTCGCCCATCGATTGTAATAAATCAACAACATCACCAGCTATAAAAAGAGGGCGAGGTAGACCAAAAAAAACTGGAATCACAGCAAATACTGTTCTGCCAAAGTCACAAGTTGTTTTTAAAAAAGTGATAAATAAAAAAAAAGGTAGAAAAAAAGGTACCTTAACCAATGTTAAAAATCATTTGAAGAAAATGGAAGATGCCTCACTTGAGAATGAAATGACTTCAAAAGTTTCTAATGATTCAAAATTTTTAAATATTGATTTTAATCCTGACCTTTTCAATCTTAAAGAATTGATGGCTGATGATGAAATAGCAATTAAAAACGCTAAATTTTTTTGTGAAAAAAAAACAAATGATAATGATATTAAAATTAATAAAGACTTATTGACAATACATCCAGAACTAAAGTCATGTTCTGTTCACTTAGAAAAGTTTCAGTATTCAAATACAACAGAGGATGTTGATGACAATTTAAGGTTAACTAAGATAAAAGTTGAAACTAATGATTCTTTAAAGAATAGTGAACAAGGTTCGATTATTAAATTTGATAAAGCTAATTGGAATATTGTTCCTAAAATAATAAAATCTAAAAGTCTTAATGAATATAATAAGATACATCATCGTCGAAATTCTCTTCCTAATAATTTTGTTTTTGGCTCAACAGATTATTCAAAAATAAAAAATGATAATATGAAGTTAAAAAAATCTTGGAAAAGTCTTTCATATTTACAAGGGGGACCAAACATTCATATTGAACGATATCAACAAAATGAACTTCACAAAAAATTTAGAACAGAATTGAAACGTAGTAGAAGTTTTCCTAATTGTATGTTATTGGATACAGTTATCTGGAGATTTTTAGTTCATGAACAAAGTTATTATACTGATGACAACTCAATTTTGTCTGATTCAGAAATTAACTTACTTAATGAACTTTCAGTAGATGGATATAACCATCAATATCGTTCCAAGAGTATACCCATTGAACAATGTGAGTATAAAAATGAAAATAATAAGCTTTTATCTAGAAGTTTGGATAGTTTAAATATGTTATGTCATACCAAAAATCTACCACCTTTCCAAATGAATCTTGATGAATGTGATTTAAAAAATACTGAAAGTGATTCAGATGAATGTGAGAGCAAAATAAGACGATCTAAACGATTAAATACTAAAATTAAGCATACAGATATGATTGATGAGAAATATTTACTGGAATCTAATAACTCAAAACGTGATTATTTATTATTGGCGGAACAAATCCGAAATGAAAATGAAAGACAATTATTAGAAGCTAGGAAAAATGATATAGAATTAGAAAGAAAATTAAAAAAACTGAATTTTACATTGATCACCAACAATTTGTTCAGGCCTCATAGGTAAGTTTGTATTGATACTTTGATATTTTAATATACATGATTGTTAAAATCATAAACACTTGTGTAATGTAAAAAAGAAAAAAAATGATAAAAGAAACAGAAAAGTTCCGTCTAGGTATATCAAAATAACCTAAAATCAAATAAGCTATATCGTAATAATAACTGTTACTATGCTAATAAATTTAATGATTTGTATACATTTTTTTATAAAATAATATTATAATACATTTTTTGTAACTGAATATTATAAAAAATGTATGTGGAAAGTAATTTTCAAAATTGATATTTGGATTTTTCTAAAAAATTTAGTCAGTAGATAGATCTCAAGAATAACTGCTAAGTTATAGATCAGCTTTTCAAACTGGGTGTTGTGGGCTCCTAGGAGGCCACGAGTATATAACTGGAAATCCATGAAATATTTATTTTATATAAACTATTTTCTTTAGGCTTTAATTTATTTTTATTTATACATGTAAATAGTTTAATATTATTTTTAAAACAATTATCAAAAGTGTATTAAAAACATTAATTTAACATACATATTAATATTTAAGCTTTGTGAAATATTACATATATTTTTAATGTATAATTAATGATTTTGATTAAGGGAACCTTGACAGTTTTATATTAAATTTAAGGGGTCTCATGACAAAAAATTTTGAGAAACACTGTTGTGGATAACAACATTTAAATGTGAAAAGAGGTATTCTTAATACGCCAAATATGTTTATAAATATTATGATGATATTTTAATATAAATTAAAAAAATCATTAACATGTATAATATTTACATACATTTTGAATCATTAGTTCATCTGATAAAATGTTGTTATTCTATTTTCGTGGACTATATATTATAATCCAAAAAATATACGTATATATAGTATATTAAAAACAGAATATTTATCATCACTAAAATATTTTCCTTTTGTGTATTCAAATTTGTTTATATAATGCCAAATTAAAAAATATAAATTATGTTTATAATTAATTTTATTATATTTCACATAGTAACTGATAAAAATAAATTTTATGCCATTTTAGGAAGGATATGGGGGAGTATACACCAGCAGAAGCCCAAGAACTACGCAAATTAAAACCTAGGTAAATCATTTTATTAATATTTTAAGGTTTTGACCATATTTAAATGTATCAGAGTTTTTAAATTAATAAAAATTTTACCCCATTTTAATATTTAAAAAAAAAAAGTTCACAAATTTAAAAATTTAGTAACCGTTCTTCCATTCTTCTTTAACTAAAACATATTTTCTTTAGGAGAATTATCAATGCCGATACATATACATGTCATTGTAAATATTCAAGAAAAGATTGGATTGATGGTAAACCAGGATGTGGTCCAGAGTGTATAAACCGTTTATTGAATATTGAATGGTATTATTTTATAAATTAAATTATTTATGATAAATTAAGGTTTTATTTATTTTGTTAACAGTACTTTTTTTTTTATTTTATAGTGGATCTGGATGTTCATTAAAGTCTTTCTGTACAAATAAACAATTTCAAAATAAACAATTCAAACGTACTGAAATTGTTAGGACTCCAAATAAAGGTTATGGTGTTTTTGCACTTGAAGATATACCTAGGTAATTATTTTTTAGTTCTGATTAAGTTGATAGTTTCCATAATATTATATGTGTATTATAGTTATTTATTTATTGTTCTTTTGTCGATTAATTTATATTTTATAAAAATAATTCTACAAAAATACCTATTCTCATTTCTTTCCTTTTTAGATAGTTGGTATCTTCTATTATTTTTCATCCAAACATATTAACCTTTGGTTTTCTGCAATTAAATATTTATTTCTATTATGAGGAAGAGGAAGTTGAAAAAATAAATGGTTGGATGCAATTGAGAATAATATGAGGGCTGTTGCTGTGTGTGTAAGGGGTATAGAAAATCGAGATGAGTGGAGGTTTCAGACAAGGATGGCCAACCCCAAATAGTTGGAAGAAAGGCGAAGGATAAGAAAAAGAAGTATTTATTTCTATTTTTTTTCATCCCTGTATTGATACTTTTGAATTTAAACATTTAGTTTTAGATAGTATCTTATTTTTTCTTTCTTTAGAATATACAGTGAAACCTGTCTTAACGGACACCACACCTGTATATAACGGACATCTTTCTATTACGCATACGGATAGTAATATTTTTGATAACGGATAATACTTATTATTAGATCCTGGATTTATATGCATTTAAAAAGTGTCAAATATGATGCAAATATGCAAAGAAAAAGTGCCTAAATATGCAATTATATGCATTATGTTACACTTTATAAAATGTGTTTTTTTTTTAAAAACCACACTTTTATACTAAATAAAATTTTAAATATTTTATCAAAAACAAAAAAAAAAATGTTAATATCCACTGCTTTATATTTTAAATCATTTAAATCAATCTAAAACTTTTAGTAAACTTAAAAACGAGAATAAAAACAAAAATAAAAAAAAACTTAAAATAAATATTTTAGATCATTTGAAGTTAACTACTCTCAAAAAATTAATAGAAAATTTAAAAAAAATACAAATCTTTTAAAATAATATTTTTAAAACTGAATACCTATCATGTCTATTCGTGCTCTATTCGAGGCGATTACTAAATTTACAGTAAATTAAAATAGTTAATTTATTAAAAATCCATTAAATATGCATGTTATATGTATTTATGAACAAATATGCAATAACCCTCGAATATGCAAAATAGGCAGTATAAAACTTGGTGTTTAAATTCGATATGATATGAATCGTGGACATTTTAAACCTCCATAGACGTGCATACACTTAGTACAAACATGCAAATGCATATAAATCCGGGTTCTACTTATTATACATACATATACATATCTATACTACGTAACAGTGTCATCCGTCTATTTTGAATACCGATTACGATAGATTATATATTCTATATCACTGATCATAAAGAGAAAGTTAATTGTGTCGATAGTATAACCAGAAACACGTATAAAACGTTAAGAGTATTCAGTGCTTAATCAGTGTCACTTCGATATTGTGTGTAATATTTTTTCTCTGTTCGTTTCATATTTGTCTTAATAATGTCACCTCCCGTACCACGTAAATCTTTCAATTTAAAACAAAAAGTGGACATTATTCGTTGTAAATATTCTAAAGGTTTGTCTATTCATAAATTTGCTGAAACATTTAGCATCGGTAAAACGTTAGTTGTCGAAAATTTGTTAAATAAAAAAGATATTTTACATTAATACAACGAAAATTCCACAAAGAATCTCACCGATTCCAGAGGAACGGACTAGGTGAGTTCATTGATAAAATCGTTTTAGAATGATTCAATCATCTTAGAAATAAAAATGTTCCTGTTTTCCTGAATTTAACTATTTTAAAGCGTCCAATGGCTGGTCAGAGAGTTTCTAAGTACAACATAGTATAATTTTTAAATCAATTTGTGGAGAATCAGCTTCTATAACTTTAACAATTGTGAATGATTAGAAGTCAAAAATTTCGGAAATAGTGACAGGGGATGAGCTACAAAACGTATTTAATACTGACGAAACCGGTCTGTTTTACCGAGCATTACCAGAAAAAATGTTTGCCTACAAAGAGGAATCATGCTCTGGTGAAAAAATAGTTAAAGAACTTTTAACTGTTCTTCTGTGTGTCAGCATGTCTGGAGAAAAACTTAAACCACTAGTTATTAGAAAATCTCTCAAGCCAAGGCGTTTTAAAGGAATTTATCTGTAAACTGGCAGTAGAATGGAAGGTGAATAGTAAAGCATGGATGACTACGAATATAATGACAGATTGGCTTCAAACAATTGATAAACACATGAAAACTCAAAATAGAAAAATATTATTGTATCTTGACAATGCTTCATCATACGCACATCTGGATTTGGACAACGTAAAGCGTATTCTCCCTCCCTCCAACATAAAATGAACTTCTTAATCTTCAGATCTAGGAATAATTTAAAATGTTAAAGTTTTTTACCACAAGTTTGAACTACAATACATTATTGGGAATCTGGATAGTGCTCAAAATACACATTATTTTGGCCCTAGACTGTCCATTATATACAGTTTACTATGTAATTGCCATACATTTTATATTAAAAAAAATGATATTATTTTTGACAATTTCTTCTAAATTGTTTTTATAAAGATAATTTTTACTTTTATTATTATTATGAAGGTTATACTTTATTAGTTGGCTAACTCAATAATTTTTAGAAATTTTAAAATATTAAATTACTGTTATTGGTGCAGTGGAACATTTGTCGATGAATACATGGGAGAAGTTATTGATCAGCACCAAATGATAAAAAGAATGAAAACAAAGTTGTACAAGAATAATAATTATATGGTTCAATTGAAACATGATGAAATAATTGATGCTACCCGAAAAGGAAATATAACAAGGTTTATAAATCATAGTTGTGAACCTAATTGTGTAGCTGAAAAAGTATATTTACTAAACTATATTATTTTGATTCCTGTAAATTTGAATAATTTTATATAATTTTTTTTTTTCAGTGGAACGTTTTAGGTGAATCGCGAATGGGCTTTTTCACTAAAGTTCCAATATTTAAAGGAGAAGAAATTACTTTTGATTACAGTTTTGAAATATTTGGGTATTAATTAATATATTTATTTAAATGGGCTACATGTTTCTTGCGTCCCGAAGATTGTTGATAATAATTTGCATTATTATGGCATGTAAGTTGCATTTCATATGCTCCGATGCAACTTACCTCTGTTAATAAAAATCAAGTAACTTGTGTCCACAGTTTGGATGCAATTTACCTGCCATTATCAATTTGGGACACAAGGAGTATATATCACTTAATTCATAATAATATATCTTATAAAATTATTTGTAAATTCAATTTAGAGATGCTGCTCAACAAAAATGTTACTGTAATGCACCTAAATGCCGTGGATTTATTAGTAAAAAGTCTCGAACAGGAGATGATCAAAGCAGTTCTGATGAAAGTGAGGATAATGAAGATGATATTTTGACCTCAAAATCAGATGAACGTGAAGAAAAGAAAAAGAAAATCACTGTGAAAAAGATAACGAATAAAGATAAAAAACGTTTACGAGAGGTAGAATTATAAAATAGTTTAAATCATTATGTATAATTATTTATGAAATATATTTTTGTAGCTTGATCGACAGCTAACAGATATCAGTAGATTAAAAAATAAAAATCGTTCTGATTTGGAGAGCTCAACATTAAATTTGAATAAGTTAATGGTTCATATCACAGACTCAATGAGCCAATCACATATTTTGAAATTCATTCGAGAAAATGATTTGAATTGTAAAAGATTATTTATGAATTTCAATGGTTTGAGTATAATACATAGTTGGATGATTTCAAGTAACAATGAGAATTTAAAATTAGAAGTAAAACATTTTATTATATTTGTTTTTTATAATAAATATTAAATTGTATATTTTATATTTTAGATCATACAGACACTTTCAGAGTTACCAATTTCAAATAGAAATACTATAACTAAATCAAAAGTTTTAGATATTGTTGCTGAATGGGCGAAAATTCCATTTAGTATTAAAGAAAATATCGAAAAGTAAAATTTTTTAATTATCATGATAATCTATGTTAAAATTATGATTTCATCCATTATTTAATAAAATGGAATAATAATATATTTTATTATTAGTCTTTTTGAATTAGATAAAAGCGTTAAATCAAACATTTTTATAAATTTCTGTATGTGTAAACATCTCTTAAGTTATATACATTTTAAACCATTACTAAATATTACTAAAATATAATATATTTTTTATCTGATAAATATATTACAGATATAATTAATTTTCAAGAACTATGTGAATTGTTTAATTATTACAAATTATTTTTTTGCAACGATTTTCTGTGCATATAATTAGTATTTCATTAGTAAAAAATAATTTTTTTTTTATAGGTAATCATATTTATTTAGCTATTTTAATGTTTAGTTTAGATTATCCAGTGTCTAAAAGTGAAGAACATGGACAAGAAATTGACAAATTATTACCAGATGATAAAAATATTTCTTTGTTAGCTCAAGCAGCTAGAGTTTTATGGAAGAAATGGATTATTTTAAAAATGGTTTTTAAAATACCTAAATTAGAGCGTCCAAAAGATGGTACATATTTTATTAATTTAATTATTTTAGAAATCATAATATTTGAAATTATTCTTTAGTTCAAATATAGTCTAAATTAAATATATAGAGCATTAAATATTTTTTTTTACTATATTAAGGTTTTTTTCATAGCATCTTGCATGGCCAGTACTAGTTGTAGATTTACATTTATTTTTAAAAATAAGGATTATATGTTATAATTTATAATTAAGTTCTTATAACTGATGAATTGTAATTTAGTTCTTTGTTATTTTTAGTGAGCATTCCTTGTGATATCCAACCATCAATTATTTTATCACAACCAAAACCGTATGAACTTTTAATTAATTAATTAAATATGATAATTAGTTTTTTTTAACAAAAATTTATGTTTGAATATTTTAGAAAGCTTGATCAATGTAATTTTGAGAAACCGTTAATTACTACAAGTCAACATTCTATATTAGATAGTGGAAATCTTACAAATAAAATTAACAACATATCGTAAGTTTAATTGTGTTAAATATTTTAATTTATACCATATTCACTATGAGATCAGTACTTATTTGGCGACAATTAGTTTTCGTTGGTGGTCTCCTACCAAACATATTACCTGTTGATTCATTAGAGAATACGACTCAATAGGTGGCGTGCACGTTGTCTCTGCGAAATGAATATGTATTATGAAATTAAATTTTAACTAAATTATAATTAAATTCATTTAATTATGAAATTAAATTAATAAATTAATTTTAAATTAATTTATTATATTTTACAATATATTCATTAAAACACATACATTTAAATATCATATTGAATACTATTTATTAACAGAAAATTCGATTTCAAAAACTAAAATTTGACTAATTAAACACTGAGGTGCAAGTAAAAAAATTCACAAAATTGCTTAAATATTAATCATGGTTAACAATTTTATTATTCTCAAAATATCAAAATTAATAATAATGTGATTTTCATAAAACGACATTGCAAATCGGTTCGAATCACGAATTAACATGTACTGGATATCCAACAACTCAAACTAACTTTTCGATTGCAAATGTCTTACAGCGCTGCGAGTGGATAAAATTAACATTCAGTAATAAAATGCACCAATAATTGATTACAACAAACAATTATACAAAGTATTATTTTGGATTTAGAAAAAAAAAGAAATCATAATCATGTTTTATAAAATTAGAAACAAATTTTGGTGGTAGATAAATTGATGTCTATCTACTTATATAAACTGCTACTAATATGATAATAAGCGCTAAATGTTTTTTACGACACCTGTTTTGGTGAGTCCATTTGGGTTCCTCTAACGCAGTGTTTCTCAACCACGGTGACTTAACGCAGTGTAGGGGTAACACGAAATCTCCAAAGGAAAATGAAAAAAATAAAAAAAATAATCAATTTTAATAAAATCATATTATTGTCATAACTGTTATGTAAATAGCATAACTTTAAGTTTGTCTCTTTATATTGTTTAGATCCGATAAATACGTGCAGTATATTTGTGATATCGAATTATGCATTATCGATTATTTTATTTATTTAATTGGGGTCGTTAGTCAGTTATTTTAAAGTCACTAGAATACAATATGGGACTTGGTCTTTCCACCAACAGCCCTCGACTTCCTTTGTAAAAACCACCAGGACCCAATTTCTCATCAGTTTTCATAGAAATTATTATTTTTTCTCTTTTTTTTTTTAATTTGCAAATTTAAAATTTTAACTGACAATGTTTATTGAACCCTGCAACTCAAATAAATTGTAGGTGAACTTATTATTTTTCTGTGTACTGTATTTTTTTTTTTTTTTTGTTATTTAAAGAATTATTCTAAAATACACAGTTAATATTATTTATTATTTTGATGTTATAGTGATAAAGTGTTTTATTCTAGTGGCTAAAGATGATATGAACGAGAAAAGGATGAGAATTACTGCTCTAACGTAATTGTTAATATAGACTTGTTGGATATCTAGTATATCTTAATTCTTAGTTTGAATGTTCAAAATATAAAAAATAATTAATAAACATCGTTATGACAATGTTGTTATAATGAATAAAATTTAAAAACATTAGTTTAGTTAACAAAAATATTGAGTTCGTAGTAATCAATACGGTGGACTGTTTTTCGGTCATCCGAAGTGACCATTCTGATTTTATCTATTCTGTATTAATATATTCCTGATAAAACCAACTTGATATTTTATTGTTTAAAAAAATTATTAGTACTTTGACCCCATAATATTTATACATCAATAAGTAATATTTTAAAATTTGAATATTTTGATAATTTTATTTTATGTAACTTTAAATCCTATTTATTTTCTATAATTTTATATGCATGCATTTTAGATTTGTACAAAACCAAGAAATACTTGGACATGGATTAACTAATCCTATGGATAAATTTAGTAAAATTATTGATCATCAAATTCAGATTAATAATCAAGAAAAGTAAGAATAATAGATTTTAATATACTCTTAATTTTGTAAAATATGTTATGTCTTATTTTAATAGGAATAAAGCTGTTTTTGAATGGAATAAAAAATATTGGGACTATACAGCATTGAAAACAAATAAAGTTAACAGTTCTTCTGCTGTAAATAGTCCAAATAAATTAATTTTAAATACAAATCATGTTTCAACTACCGAATTGACATCAGATATTTTAGAGATTCCTACTATTGAAGGCAACTTACAAAGTAAAAAAGTAAAATGGAGTATTGCTGCTCAATGTAAGAATATATATACATATATTTTAATTATTTAATATTATCATGCAATAGAATATCTTTTATGAATTTTTTCAAAAAAAAAATTTCAGTATTATTTTTGTGTTCCTTAATATAATTATTTTAAAATCAACCTATTTTAATGCAATTGAATTTAGTATTATAATAATTTATTATGGGCAATTGATCCATTCAAAATATCTATGAATTTTATATACTTTATTATATATTATACATTTTATATCTTGATAAACTGTGCAAGACACTTTTGAAGTATTTATTTCAATCATTTTTTTATAGTCTCCGTTTCTCTAAAAATAATTTCTATGTACATCTTATTTCATTATAAGTATATGATATACATTATAAACTGTTCATATGTTTAATTTAAATAGGTTTATTAATTTATTGCCTGTTTTTGTATTTGATGTTTTTACTTAATATTAAGTTTATAAGTATCAAATTAATTGACATTAAATATTTTCAGTTACTCCAGCAGTTTATGAAGTACCTACTTGTGATTCTACTTCAAAACCCGCCTCTATGTGTAATATTTCCAATACTGAACCAATTGACTACAACTCTATTGAAATAATTACAACTTCAAACAAAGCATGGGATCCACCTCTTTTAACAATTGATGAACTTAAAAATGGATTTACTTTAGAATCTATTTTGAAAACAGTTCCACCTAGTTTATCAAACAATTATGTTTCTAATCAATGTGATAAGACTACCCAATATTTAAATTTCTATGATTCATCATTAATGAACCCTGAAAATGTCATGTATGAAGCTCAACATCCGAGTATAGAAGAACAGTCACTTTCTTGGTCCACAGAACCTATATTAAATTTTCCTACCAAAACTGTAATTGATATATTAGAAACTAATTCAAAAGAAAAAAAATTAGATAAAGATAATATTGATGTATTAGAAACTAATTCAAAAGAAACAAATTTAGATAAAAATAACATTGATATATTAAAAAGTAATTCAAAAGAAAAAGATTTAGATAAAAATAACATTGATATATTAGAAACTAATTCTAAAGAAACAGATTCAAATAAAAATAACATTGCTGTACAACCAGTAACTGCAGAAGATACTGAGAAAATATTATTTGAACAGTGCCAAAATAATTTAAAAAAACTTATTGGTAGTGGTTTATTAGATATTTCTAAATCTGCCAGAGAAAATTTTATTGACCAGTCTCCAATTAAAATAACTGACTCATTTTTCAAAAGAAAATCACAATCTCAACACAAAAATGATTTTATTTTGCCTAATTTTTTTAAACGATTAAAAATAATCAGTAACTTTTATCGGGAACAGCCATCCAAATTAGTTAAAATAAACAATTTTAAATCTAAATGTACAGCTCCAAAAAATAAAAATAACGTATTTAGAATTATAGAAGATAATAAGACTGTAAAAACTGATGCAACTTCTGTAGCTTTAAAATTTCATGATGAACAACTAAATACTGCTCCTCAGAATTTAAATATAGGAAAATTACTTAAGAAACAAACTATTGAAATAAATACTGAAAATAAATTTGCATATAAAATTTTTAATGGTCTCAAGAAAAAATATTTAAATATGCCTAAACAATTTACACTCCCAATAGATACTAAGGTTTATACTTTAGACCCTAAAAAAGAAATAGAACTTCATCATAAATTAATTCCAACCGTGAAAAATACATTGTGCGGTAAATTAATAAAAGATAATAGTAAAGATACCATTAATGTGTTCAAACAAGAAATAATTATGAAGTATGATGAATCAAAATCTATTCCGAGACCTATCTTAAGTTTAGAAGAGGTTTTTAAGGAAAATTTGACTAAACCAAAAAATATTTCAAATAATAAAGAACACGGGCCAATAAAAAGAAAAATGCCATTACATACTTCACATAAAGTAAAAAGTCGAAAGGCAGTTGATTCACATATTAATAAATCCAATAATATAGTTACAGTAACAAATGAAAAAAATGATGATGTAATATTTAAAAAACCAATGGTGCCTATCAACAGGAAAAAATCACTTAAAGTAAGTACTTCACTTAGCAATAAAAGACGAGAACAGGTTATATCAAAACCAATGACACAAAATACAGCTGTGTTGAAAAGAAATACTAATGAAATAAGACAGGGACCTATTACATCAGGCCAAATTATGTCAAGTAAAGCTCTATTACGAGTAAATGCAAATGAAGTTGCACAAGAACCAAGTACATCAAATCAAACTACACCGAGTATTACTTTGTTAAAAACAAACGCTAATGAAATTAGACAGAAACCTCTGATGAAATGTTTACCATTTAATAAAGTAGACAATATTTTAGATACTGAATTGGAACAAAATGCTAAAAATTTGGCAACATATTTGAGTATGAATTACATAACGAATGAAATACCAATTAGTCAAACAAATAGTGAACTAATCGATTCAATTGTAGATAATTTCAATGCATCAGTTACTTCAAAGAAAACCATGAATCGTACAAATCTTTCTGATGACCCTATTGTGAGGGATTATATACAGCGTACTCAATTAAAAACTCTTGAAACAAAAAGAAAATGTAAACTGCCTGAAAGTATGATGTCTTTACCAGTTGAGGTTCTGAATCTTGTTCCGGATAATCAAAGAGAAATAAAGTACGTCATTGATTTCTATCATGCTATGGCTACAGTTATTGTGAAAGTATTAGATTCTTATGTAAAGAAGAGTTGTAAACAAGGTCGTATAAAAAATGATGAAGATTTCAAATATCTAGCTAAAAAGGTAATTTATTTAAATATTTTAGATCATATTTTTCTTATATAATTATTTTTATTCTATGCAGCTGAATTCCAATATTTTATTCAAAGAGCTTCAAGTTAAAAAAGTAGAGGAGTTAAAAATAACTGATAGTGTAAAGCAAAAAGTTGAACAATACATTAAAAAATACATGTTGAAATATGGAAAAGTATATAGAAGAAAAAGTACCGGTATGAATATTATTTTGATTATGTTTTGTAATAAAATCAGAAATTGAAGTGGTTTTTGGATTAGTATTATATTAGTTATTATATTCTGAAGTAATTATTGATGAACATTGAAAGTGCTTTAAAATAATGTTGAAATTACTTTTTAAACAATTGGATGTTAATTTTATCTTTCTGTCATAATAAATATCTATATTAATTTAAAATATATTCATACAAACTGATGAAAATAAAGTAAAAACTATTTTTTTTTGTAAATTAATTTATTTTGATCCAATAATCCATATTTATAGTTTAGGTATTCTTTAACAAAACAATATTATACATTTTCAGAAATAATAAATAAATAAATTGTACTCTTATATTGAAATTATAAAAGTATTTTAAAAATATTCTTTATTCAGTTTATTTAAATTCTTTCATTTAAATTATAATAGCTTATTTTAGATAAAAGTTTACAATTAAAATATTGGGCAACAAAATTAATTGAACTATTTACTTTACTAAATTTTATAAATGCTCTTGGATCATAATTAATTTTTCATAAGTAAACTTCATGATACTCATGAATAAATACAATTTCTTATAAGTCTAATGAAACATCCTCCTCAATGGGTTTTTTCAACTTCATCTTATCAAATAGAATTATTTTTAATCACAATAAATAAATCTAATAAAATATTTATATATTTTAATATATTTTTAGTAGTTTTTATATCAAGAAACGAATTTAATGTTGAATTATTTTTAGATCAATGATCCAGTTAGCAATATAATCATCATCATCATAATTTAAAAAAGTATGTTCATATGGATATATCATCTATATTCATCATGGTTGTAATTTTCACAGATTTTAATTTGAAATTTTCCAAGGTATGTTATGATTTCATTTTTAGAAAAAATTAAAAATATTCGGAATCATTTTCAAGGCCTTAAAAAAATATGAATATACATTTTTGAATAATATATATAATATAAATATAATAATAATATAATAAATATAAATGTGCCTAACAAATATAATTTTAATTGTATAGGTATATATTAATACATATTATATTTGTTTTTAACTAGCCAAATTGTCACTGCCATTAATGAAGACAAAAACCAAGATAAAGTTTTGGTTATATTTCAGAAACTCAAAATTTTTTGTTTTTATACCAACAACTTAATTGATTAATTTAGTTAATCATTATATATTATTAATTATTAAAACAATTTTTATAGTATAATTGGCCTTTTTTTACTCTAAATTAACCATTAATAATTTTTTTTATGTCTTAGTAAATATTTTTATTTATATGTAAATAACCTTATATTAAGTTATTTTTATTTAAATAAGGTAAAGTTTCTATTTCATATAGTAAACACATCACGCCTAAAGTCTAGAAAAAAATAAAACTGCTGATCTCTAAAAATATATATTAGATATAGTTTACATTAATTAGTGTGTTTACATAATTATTATTTTAATTTGTGTTAGTTTTTTTTTAGAATATGTTTGTGTATAATTATTTATTTTGTTTTTTTTTCTTGTTATTAGTTTTCTTGTGTTATAAGCTCAATTCAAAATAATTTAGATAATTCAAAGATTTTTGAATCATTGCCTCAAAATAAATTTACTAAACAAGTAGTAAATGAATTATTATTATATTATATTACATATATATATATATATATATATATATATAATATATTATATTTATGCAAAAGAAAAACATTTTGCTCCTTGGTTAATTACGATGTTATAAAAATAACTTCCTAGTCTAGTTGACTTTTTTATCACAGTCAATATTAAAAAATGGATTATATTAGAATTATACATATTTTAGTAAAAATATTTATTTAAATTTATTTTAAATTGTAATTTTTCTTACAATAGTTGATTTAGGTTGATTTTGATTTTTTTATTTTTTTTTTTGTAATTTATGTAGTAACATTTATTTAGCATTAAGTTTTTATTTGAAATTTTTTACATAAAATTAAAATTTTATATGTGCATCAATTTATTTTTTCATGATTGATTATTTGCAATTCATATATTTTTAGTGATCAAAAATCTGTAAGCACATAGACTACTCTGTATCTAATTTAATATAATTATCATTCAATAATTATAATTTAGTATAAATATTTTTAACTTTCAATTAAATATGTTTAATGATGATTAAGTCTGTGTATAGTATGTAATATAATAAGTATGAATACAACTGCCACTAATGTTATGGCAACTAATAAATAAATCTTGAATACAATCATTTTCTTGGAACTATTTATATAATCAAATCCAAGTTCATTAAAATATTCCAAACTTAATGATAAATATTTAACTTAATAACTATATTGAAATAATTTATTATTAAGTACTTATAATATAAAATGTTTGTGGATCAATGGGGTATTTTTTAAGTGTAAATACAAGTATACATATATTAATGAATATTGACTAACAATTTTAAATATTTATTGAAATTTTATCATACATTCAAACTAAATTTAAAATAGGTATTAAAGATTTATGTTAGTTTTTGAAGTTTCAAGTTTATATGAACAATATGAAAAGCAACTTTTATTATTAAAAGTTGAACTATAAATAAGTTTTTTTTTTAAAATATTGAATAAAAAAAAATATTTTTAATACAATCTGGTGTTCATTTTATAATAAATTTTTGATTATTAATAATAATTAGTATTTTAGGTCATTGTTCATATTATTTTATTAAACTCAAATTGACTTCTAAAAATATTTTTATAATTCTTTTTTATTAATAAGTAATTGTATATTGATACTTAAATGGTAAAATAAAATGTATTAACTAATATTTAATGTGTTACTACCTATATACTTTTAATTTTTTTTTTTGTTGGTTTTTTTTTATAGTTTGTTTACTGTATTAATTTATGTTTGTTTTATCCTATTATATTTTAATTTTTTATTTTATTGTACAAAAGTTAAATTCATTATATATATACTTAATTGTATAAAAATAATAAGTAATAAAATTCAATGGATATTATCTTGATTTTTTTTTTTATATATCTTAACCCTAGATATACAGCAAATATCACATATCTACAGAAAAACTAGATAGTCGATTATCTTCATAATAACGATGCCGGTAGCCATGTACAACTTGGAAAATGTTTACCTATAGAGTAATAATATTACTAGTATAGTTAGTATATAAGTATATATATAGTAAGTATTTTTCAATGTGATAATCAATGACATAAACATTATCAAATTTATATTATAACAACTTATTTATTTATGAATTACCATAGGGTAATATAGGCCGTTTAATTATATCATTAAGAGTAAATTAACTCTGGGTAAACTAGCCACTATGAATAAAATAAATTTTGTAGCCACTTCTATTTGGCACTGTGTATCGAATATACCATGTTATCATATAAAAAAAAAAAAATAAATTAATAATTGTCATAAAAACATCAATATCGTATTCAGCTTATCTATCTAATTTATAATATTTTTAAATATTACAAATTAATACTATTATTATTATAAACCGTAACCATAAAAGCATATATTATATTAAATTTATCAGTTTTTTTCGGGGGAGGGGAAGGAGGGATGCCCTCCTAGAGTCACCACTGCTAGAGCCGAGGGTGTACCCAAGAGAGGGGGTTTGGATCCGGATCCTCCCCATTGAAATTCCTACATACTCAATGGTTTAATAGTAAATAGTATAAAAATAGTATATAGTATATTTTAATTTTCCATTATCTTCAATTTACAAAGTTTATACATTATATAATATAAGTACCTATATTCATTGATTATAAAATAGAATAATTTATAATGTATAAACCATACTATAGTATATTAACAGTAATTTGTTGGTATTGAGTTAAACTATAATTTTAATTAGAGGAAAGATAAAATAAAAATGTTGGACCCCTTCCATAAAAAATTCTTGGGTACACTCCTGGCTAGAGCACTAAATATCTACACCCAATGTAAGTATGAATATAAGTGTTCAAAAAGTTAAACACTGTTTAGGTAATAAATTGTATCTTCAGAGAATATAAGAACCGGTATATTCTCTTTTGGAATGAAGTATACTCAGTGTCGCATTTAGACAATTTGCATCCAAAACAAATTGATGCCCCCTTACTGGGGCTTACACATAGGGAGATAGATGAACTCCATGAACTCTTTAGATTTTGAACTAAGCAAAGAATGTAGGTATTGGTTTAATGATGTAAATTCTTTTATCAAAAATTTATAGTTTTATAATTTAGTAAACATCCTCACTCTTCAAAGAAAAAATTTAATGTATTCTAGGAATTTCATATATCCTATATTTTATTCCTAAAATTTAAATTTAATTTTTCAATCTTAAATGAGAATATTTTCAAGAAGGTGGTAACTGTAATATATCAACGAAATATAATAATAATGTTAATAAAAAAAAAAAATTTCTAATACAAATTTTTTTTTGTAGTAATACCTATTTAAAATGATATATTAATACAATGTTACTTAGTATTATAATTTATTTATTAAAATGTTAAATTATTATTAATTAGCATATGGAAAGATACCGAATTACTAACTATTTGTTTTATATATCGCCATTAATTTGAAGAACTAAACATGGATTTTAATAAATTTAAATAATAAGTATATATTATAATTGTATAAGAGATAACAAATAAATGTTACTAAAAACTTTTATGTGTAATGTCACTTTATATTTAATTTTTAGTTATATTAACACATGTTCCAATTCTTTTCAAAATCATAAGTAGGTACTAAAAATTACTTTAAAAGTAAAAATAAATGATTGATTAAATAATAACTTTTTATTTGAGGAACTATATATACTTACTACTTACTACCCCAACCAGTGGCGCTGGAACAATTTTTGAACCATGGGAGCTGAACATAGTTACAAATACAGAGGAAGGTAAAGATATATTATAGGGACTGTGTCCGATCACATTGGTTGTTGATAACCAAATGATTCTTGAAATTAATTAGATTACGAATATATTTTACAGTAGCGATAATGGATTTCGTATTCTAAAGCTATTCTATTTTGGGTGTTGCGGTTATATTAAATCGTTTCCAATTTTTAGACAAGGTGTAATTGTCTCCATGTTATCTTATTCTTATATACTTACTCATAAACCACATAAAATATTAACTACTACATACATAGTACATGCAAGTAATTTCTAAATAAAACTATTAGTTTACCTACTGTAAGTGTATGATAGTACCTACTTAAAAACAGACAGTTTTTTAAATATATTTGATTTTTGTTTCTATATTCAACATAAACATTAATATTGAAGATGACCCATGTATTTTAATCATGGGAGCGTAAACTCTAGGAAAATGTCCGCGGGGGCTAGCCCACACGGAATTTTTCCCGCGGGGGCAGTTTCCCCGAAACTTCCGTTGTTGCCGCCTAAGTAAATACAGTAAATACTCGTATATTATATTTATGATTTATAATGTCCAGCATTTCAAAAAGAAATTTGAAATCTATAGCGTAGACCTCACATGTCTTGCTTACACATATACACGTAGGTGAAACTAAGAATTTTTACGCCCGGGTAAAATGTTAAAATTACACCCTACCATAGACCAATAATGAAATACTTTTCTCGAGAATTTTTTTCTAACAATTAATATACAATCATACTTGTTGAGTTTTAATCTAATATCAGTACCTATTTAAAAAAGTTTAAAATATCAAATCAGTTGATCAAATCAATTACAAAAATTACACTCGACAATTTTACGCCCGAGGATGAATTCCCGTCTTCCATCCCCTAGTTCCGCCCCTGCATATACATATATGTAGGTATAAATGAACCACAAAATGAGTTAAAAGACTTATGTAAAATCAAACAATTAGATATACTGTATAAAATACATACAATAAAAATATGTTTTAACTGGTGAGGGAGAGGGGTGTTAGGATTTTGGTAAAAATATATTGTATATATTGCCCCCCTAAATTTTTTCCCAGTTACGCCACTGATAATATTCATTATGGGATAAAAAAATAAAAAATATAAAATAAAAAAAAATAACGCCGTTCGTGTTATCGTGTCCCGAGGCGTCAGCGGCAAACGATACAATCTTGGCGCCAAAATCACCGAAGTGATAACGCGAATCAATGGATTCGAATCGTAGTGCTATAGTTACCTACGCCGTGGATTGGAAAATTATCCGTTCGCGTTCTCCATGCACTCCGGTGTATATTTCGTGTTCATGCGTATTGTTGCCGCGTTGTTCGCTGAATAGCCGTCATCGGTGTATTTACATGCGTTCGGTACGCGGTTTGCACGCGACGTGTTGCTGTGCTGTCAGGTTAACGTCCGGTCTCGGTATCCTCGCGCGGCCATCCTACCCGTACCGACCGCATTAACATTTCGTTCGGACGTGGTAATGGTCGTCTAGAATGTCCACCCTGGTTGGTGTGTGATGTGATCTGCACTTACCGGACTTGTCCTCGACGCCCGTCGTGAGAAAGCGTTAAATAACTGTTCCATTACAAAATTAATTTGAATTCAGGAACATGTCTGCTAATAGCCAACACGAAGATTTGATAACGGAAGAAAAACTTGATACGCCATCAAGGTTTTTGTTTCCGTTTACTCCGTACACCATTCAACATGACTTCATGACAAAACTTTATTCGGCCATAGAAAACAAGAAACTTGGAATTTTCGAAAGTCCCACTGGAACTGTGAGTTGTGAATAGTTGGTCTTAACAATTTAAATACCTGAAAATTAAGCGTAATAATAGAAGCAAAATAAACCATTTGTTTGAAAATAAACGTTTAAATAAGTTTTTATTTTTATCAGGGTAAGACATTGAGTATTATATGCGGAGCTGTATGTTGGTTATTTGATCATGAAAAGAGAGAATTAAACCAGCTCAAAAAAACACTAGAATTATTTACTAAGAATATAGAGGGATTTGATGATGATGATGATGATGATTGGATTGTTGGGCAATCTAAATTAGTAGAACAACAACGTAAAGTATACGAAATAAATGCATTGCTTAAATCATTAGAAGAATTCAATAATAATATTGAACAAATTAAAAAGGTATTAAATATTTTGAAAATAATTTTATATAGTATATTATTTAAAAAAATTATTTTCTTTATTTATATTTATATAAAAATGATACATTTATAATATATATTTCACATGTTAAAATGAAAATTGTAAATATTTTTTAGTTGTATATTATGTATTTGATAAATTTTAATATTTTATACATATTTGATTTTTTTCATAATTTATATTGTTGGGTAATTACTGAATTTTAAATTATTTATTTCAATGAATTATATTTTTAGCTACAAGAACATAAAAAATCTAATGTTAAGTCATTGGAAACTAATGTTTTGAATCAAAAAAGTAATACTGAAATTGATAAAACAAACGACAAATATTCTTTTGATGAGGAATCTGAATTTTTACTTGAAGACTATGATCAATCATCTAATGATGATGATTTTGAAGAATTATCTCAAGACAAAATACAATATGAAGGAATTAAAGTAATAGTTTTTATTCATATTTTATACTTAATTTAATATATGTCATTTTGTTTTAATTTTTAGATTTATTTTTGTAGTCGTACTCATTCTCAACTGTCTCAGTTTGTAGCTGAAATAAAAAAAAGTCCATATTCAACTGCACGTGTTATACCATTAGCATCTCGACAAAACTATTGCATAAACAAGGCAGTCAAAAATTTAAAAAATATAACATTAATTAATGAAAGGTAAATTTAAAAAATTAATTAATAGACAATTTTTAACAAGTTTGCGATTTACCATTATACGAAGTATTATATTTTTATTAATAATAATAGATTTTTTACAAATTGGATAATAGGTGTTTAGAAATGGGAAAGTCAAAATCTAGTCAGAAATCTACTAAGTTATCTTCAATTGGTTCAGTAGTTAAGAAAAAAAAAGTTGAACCTCTATGCAAATGTGTGTATAATAATAAAGAAGCAATTCAATCATTAGCTGAAGAAGTTACATTAGAAATTAGAGATATGGAACAGTTAGTAAATAGAGGAGAACAATTATCTGCTTGTCCGTATTATGCTAGTAGAGAATCAATTAAATACTCTCAGGTATGAAATGACCTGTTATAATATTGTTGATTTTATATTTTATATTTTGTTTGCTATATATTTGTATTATGTTTATAGATAGTAGTTTTACCATATAATACATTATTACATAAAAGCACTAGAGAAGCAAGTGGCATTCGTCTTGAGGGTAATATATTTATTATTGATGAAGCTCATAATTTATTGGATACAATCGGTCATATACATAGTTCTCAAATAAATGGTCAACAGGTATATTAATTCTATATAATTTTATGATTTATTCTAATATAAAATTTAAAATTGCAATCTGTTTTTTTAGTTAACTCATAGTTATAGCCAGTTGATTCAATATAAGGCAAAGTTTGAGTTAAGATTTACAGCCAGTAATTTATTACATTTGAATCAATTGATTTATGTTATTGGAAAGCTCATTGTTATGCTGGGTAAAACATTAATGAATTAATTATTTGTTATAGCATAATAATTGTTGTAAATTTAAGGTGGAACTCCAGGAGTTAGTCATGCAGAAGCTAGTCATAAAGGAATTGATTCAAAAGTATACACTCTTGAAGATTTTGTCCATCAAAGTAAAATTGATCATTTAAATATGTTTAAACTGGTTGATTTTTTCAAAAAAAGCAAGATAGGCCAAAAAGTAATGTATATTCATTATGTTTTAATTATCCATAATAATACATAAAAGTTAACATGGGTTATTTTAAATTACTTTTTTTAGATTCGAGGTTACTCTGAAAAATATATGCCATCAGTGACATTGCAACCTTCAAAACCTAAACTTAGCAATTTACAAGCTTTTCTCAAGGATATTGAAGCAAAAAAAAATAATAAAGGCAAAAATCCTAAAGAAGGTTAGTAAAAAAAAGATGTAAATTGAATACAGGTATATAATATATAAATATTAAATACAAATTATACAAATGTTTTTGTTTGAATAATCATTAGTTGAGCTAATTTGTGAATGTGTATTTAAGATGAAAACAAACCAAATGAACCACAAATTACAGATGTAATTAGTAACAATCCTCTTACTCCAGTTATGGCATTTATAGAATCACTCACTAATCATTGTGAAGATGGGCGCATTGTTTGTTCCAGACAAGCATTTGTTAGCAAAGGAACATTGAAATTTTTACTTTTAAATCCTGCAGTTCATTTTAAAGAGATTGTGGACAAAGCTAGGTAAGTCAAAAAGTTTATTTCTTCAACATTTATTTTGACTACTTTTATACATAAGTAATTATTATAACAATTTATATTAGATCAGTGATTGTATCTGGTGGTACTATGGAACCCATATCTGAGTTTAAAGATCAACTATTCAATTTCAGTGGTAATAACTCTGAAAGAATTGTTCATTTTAGCTGTGGTCATGTTGTACCATCAGATCATATATTACCATTAATCATATGCTCCGGACCATCTGGAAAACAATTGGATTTTTCTTACCAAGAAAGATCTACTACTAAAATGGTAAGACTTTTTTTTTTTAAGAATTGTAAAATTAAATGTTTAAACTCTTTTTATTTTATTTTTATTTTTTTATAGCTGAATGAAATTGGATCATTGCTTGAAAATGTTTGTCGAATAGTGCCTGCTGGAATTGTATGTTTTTTCCCATCTTACGATTATGAACAGATTGTTTATCAACATTTAGAAAAAAATAAAGTCATTAACAGGATTTTAGAAAGGAAAAAAGTAATTGTATAGTTGTATGTTCTTGTAATTTATCTAATGTGTATTGTACTAAAATATCAGTAAGAGCAATTTAATTTTTGGAGGTATAAAATATAATTAAGTCATTTCTAGGATAAAAAATAATAGTTTAAAAAGATTTATATTTTTAAAGGTATTCAGAGAACCAAAATCAACTCAACAAGTTGATGACGTTTTAAAGAATTATTCTAAAGCTATTTTTACACCATCATTAAATTCTAAAGTAACTGGAGCGTTATTATTTAGTGTTATTGGTAATTTAGTTGGTTTACAACTTAAAATAAACTTTATACTAATACATATGTACACATGTTTTTACTATCACATATTTATAATTATAGGTGGCAAACTGAGTGAAGGTTTAAATTTTAGTGATGATTTAGGACGTTGCGTTATAGTCATTGGTCTTCCATATCCAAATATTAAGTCTGCTGAATTACAAGAAAAAATGAATTACTTAAACAGCCATATGGTAGTAATTGAATATCAATGATATTTTAAAAGTTAATTGTATCATAACCAATTTCATGATTAAGGGTCAAGGCGCTGGCCAAGATCATTATGAAAATTTATGTATGAAAGCTGTAAATCAGTCAATTGGTCGTTCTGTTCGTCATCAACAAGATTATGCTGCAGTGTTACTTTTAGATCATCGTTATCAAAAAGATAATGTTCGCGATGCTCTTCCAAAATGGTTGCAACCTTCTTTACAAGTACATTCTACATTTGGATCAGCATTTTTACAGTTAAACAAGGTATTTATTTACTTATAATTAAATTTAATGCAAATCATAGTTTTTTATATATATATATATATATATATATTTAGGGTCTATCAACACCCAATACTCGTGTATATATATATATATATATATGATTATACAATGGTCATTTTTGGTTAAATTTAATATTTGTTGTTTCTAATATCTAATTGAAGTCTATTTTTAATTTTTAGTTTTTTGTTCCAAAAAAAAAATTGAAACATTAATTTATGAATGAATGAATTGGACAAAAAGAGATTTATATTTTCTATATTTTTTAATTCAAAATAGTAGTTAAAATGTGAACATTTTTTGTATTTTTTTAACTCTTTAAAATAAAGTATACATGTTTTATAATCATAATCTATTTTTATGTACCTAATCTAAAGAAAATTAAAACAATTTTAAGTTGCATTTTCAACAGCTTTTAAAAACAGTAAAAAAATAGGCGGTTAGTAATTAAAGTGACTAGTATTTATTGATATTTATAATATTTATAAATTAAATTTAAACAATATTTCACGAGTTTAATTCTAGTTCTTTAGATTATCATAAGAACATCGACTATTAGTGACATTAACAGGTAATTAGTTTTTAAATTGTTGAAAGACCACTGAGATTAGATAAGAAAGAAGTTTTAATACATTCGAGTTCTTATTAGATGATTGCATTTTACAGAATACAATTAAAATACAATTTCAGACGTTAATTGCATTTTAGTTAATAATCAGGAAGCTAAAGTATTATTTTTTAGGCATCATATTATTTGATGATATTGGTCGACACTGTAAAAACAAAGCCGCTTGGAAAATTGTGTGCAGTATTTATCAATGAAAAATACATATGTAAAGGTTTGAATTAAACATTTTGTATTAACATTTTAATTATTATTTTGGGAGCAATTATAATAGTTATCAGATTGCAAAATGATCAAATTATTAAAACAAATTAAATTATATTTTAGTACAAATATTATTATTCAGTATAGTATATCCAGTTTTTGAAATATTATTGCATAATTTAGCTGGTTTTGATGATAATACGAATGTATTATTTTAATAAATTTAAATTTTTAAGATGTATGTAGCTATTTAATCAAGTTAAAAATAAGATTTTTCCCTCCAATTAGCGGACAATATTTCAGCGACTGACAGTGTCCGGTACTTAGAGGTTTCACTGTATTATATATAAATATACTATGTGATATATATTATGTAATATATTGATTAAGTAAAATCAGTACATTTTTTAAGGAATTTTCACTGGACGACAAAACATGTAATTTTTCAAAATAATTAATGTATAATACAATTTAATATTTAAAATTTGCTCCGTATTAGAATTAAAAATAAACTTTAATGATAGTAGAAAAAGTAAATATTGATAATATGACAATATATTTTATCATATACAAATGTATATATCGTATATTATCTAATTATTTTTTGTACATAATTTAAAAAAAAAAAATCTTTTGACAATTAATTTTGACCGGGCAATATTTGTCACCTACTAAATTTATAAATATTTTTTATAAAATATTTTTTAAACTAGCTTAAAAAATGCACCGAGTGAAATAGATACTTAATAGATACTTCTCTTTTTGAACCAATAGTAATTGATATAATAGTTCGGTTCATTTAATCGTTTAAATATACCTTTAATTTAATATATTTTTGTAAATGTATTTTATATTATTGATGTTTGATATATTTAAATGTATTTATATTTAATTATCGTCTCTCTTTGATCATCATTATTAATATTATTCTTCGTTACCTGCGTTTTCTCTGCTATACTTTTAACTTTTACATTTATTAATAAAATTGATTTCATCGGTCTAAGGGTCTAAATGGCCATATTTACAACAGTACATAATTCTTAAGTAGTTATCTGTAGATTACTTTGAATGCATTATATATAGTTTTTTGGCCTTGGTTATTTTACTGTGTTATTAAGACTTTAAAAATATACAGATAGTTCATTCAGCATAATATTATTATATTTTTCGATCGACAATAATAGATTTAGAATATGACGATACATTGATACCTAATATTCAGTATCAAATTGAATAGAATATGATTACGTGTTAGTTATTACCTTTCGGCCCTTAGGCACTCGTTCAAGTTATTTACTCTATGTGTGTGGATTAAAGGTACAATACAAAAATTTAAAAAAATAAAAAAAATAGTCTTATCGAAATTAGTAAATTTCGTTTATTTCATTTGATACCTACCGCAGGCTCTAACGACGACACAATATTACGAATAATTTATATTGTAATTGTGCTTAAACTGTACAGTGTTCTTTTCTCAGACACAATTATATTTCTTCATAGTTTAACGTACGTATATTTTGTAAACAATTTTTATGGTATAAAATCACAAATTTTAATAGTATTCGTAATTACATAACTCGCATCAAACTCTCGGTACTACTATTCTTGTAATGGCCGCCGTCGAATAGTTCTTTCGGTATTTGCCGGTGTTCTCTTGCTGCATTTTGTTGAATTAGTTCTCTAAGAAAAAATAAAATAAAATAATATCGAAGGAAACCTATTAATTTAATGCGAGTATATGAATACTACTATATGATTACTGTATTATAGTAAACGAAAAATAGATCGCAAACGAAAATACTAAAATAAAAATAAAAAAATGGTTTTTCGAAATTCCGTTTTGTTTTTAATTAATCAATGGGTGTTATGTATTGCATGGATGTTAACAACTTGTATTAAAACTAAAGTTAATAACTTAAATTAATAAAATACTTTTGATGAAACAGTTATAAAAATCGAGATATTTTTAATAATTATACATTATATATTATATTTATGTGCTATTTTTCTGAATTTGAAGAAATTGAAACGAATAAAATTATTAACAACATACCTATTTATATATTCATCGATAAATCGGATGACCAAATTTAAAGTTACATAATAGGTATATTTTGTGTGTTTAAAAAATGTTCACACTTTTGGTGTTTTAAGTAGATACCGTTGGGAACTAAAACGAATTAATGATTCATTGGAAGTATACAAGTAAACGTAGAACAGGAGATACACACCTCGCTTTGCGCTTAAGTATTTCTTGAGCATTCGGATAAAACTTGATTGCTTCGTTAAGGTCTTCCTTGCTCAACACAAAAATATTAGAGAATCCATGAGATCTATGAACAAAAACACACTATAAATAATATTGCAAAGCTCGATTGAGGAAAGGATCCAGCCAAGATCTCGTATTTTTTTTGACATATTATTTATGTACATAATTTATGTAATAATATGTTTGTTATATTTCGTGTTTATTTTTTACTATTTTGGGCGTATTGGTGATGGCACATCTGATATAATCAGTACCATGGGTTACAAATATAAAAGTATATAAGATTAACGTTTACAAAAAAAAAAAAAAAACTACCAAAAACGATTAATTAATTCATGTAAATATATATAAATTTAAAAAAAAAAAATGAAACTGTTTCTATTTCATTTGAGTAATAATTACATTATTGAGAACATTACATTTCAATAGGTGTATTTTCGATTAAAACTTTCTCTATTCTGATTTGCATTATTTCTTTGCCGTTAGCGGGTGAATGTCTATAAATAAAAATGTGATATTTATTTACTTAATTATAACATGATGTACGTGAAGAGTTCTTATAATTTATGTTTCGGATGACCTATCAATGCAAACCTAACGTCTTATTACGTTTAAATATCGATTCGTTTCAGAATAGTATATTTAGAACAATAATTTTAATTTAATATTTTTATTTCAGATTTTATAAATTTAGATTTTATAATTGAATATTTCTATCTTGACAGATATTGACCTTGACTACCCAAATACGTATAAGATCGGTTTTTGTCGTTACCTACGTAGGTTAGGTTACTCGTTAGTTACTCGTTTACGTATTCGTTCCAGTCCAGTGATAAATGATAACGTCAAAAACAAAAATATCCAAACTACTACTGTTCTTGTTCATTCACGTCATAATGATTTATATTATTCGTGCGATATGAATTTCATCGTCGTCGTCGTCGTTGTCGACCATTTAGCCGGTGCCGATTAGCCTTACCTGACATCCGCCGTTCTCCTGTTGGTACCGCACAGGCTCAATAAGCTGATCTCTCCGAACACCGACCCTTCAGTGAGCGTGGCCAACACTCCGTCGTCCTCTCCACCGACCACTTGGACTTGTCCAGTTTTCACGATGTACATCTCTTTGCCAACTTCGCCCTAATGGAAAACGAGAAACTATATAGTATTGAATTCGTTCGATCGATATAATAACTAGGTTAGGATATGTTGTGATATGCCTATTGTGATATATAATAAAACGGATTTCAATGGCAGCATCGCTTGCAAAAATATGATATAGACTTGAGGCAAATGATTGATGATAAATCAAGCGGGGAGGGGTGAAACGTTTTTAAATCTATTTCATGAAAATATTAAAATAACAGCGCATAGTTTAAATATTTTTAACACTAGCCTGGCGCGATGTTAACGATGAACTAAATTGTACAAAGTATCTCGCGAAATGTTGTACTATTTGCACAGTATGCATTTTATATGAGGCAAAATGCATTGTGTTAATGAAACACCAACGCATGCAAATCCTCGCTCTAAACAGGCTGAACAGTAAAGGATATCATCGAAACCTACCTTCCGACATATGTAGTCGCCCGGTAAGTATAATATTGGCCGTAGCTTTAACACCAATTCACGTAATAAGGCTTTGTCGCAGTCTTTGAACAATTGCACTTTGTTCAACGTTTTCATGTGCACGTTGATGGCTACGTCGGTTTTCATTTTGTGCGGTAGCGAGTCCAATATACGGTTTTCATCTGTTCGAACAACATAATATACATAGCTCTCATTATGATAATATTATAATATTGCTCAATGGTGTATACAGAAAATATTATCGGGAGGGGTTACTATGGACAGAGTTAAATTACCATTGCTATCTAAGAATTACTAACAAAACACATTAGGTACTTATCTACGTTTCATTTACAAAATGTCCCAAAACGATTTGACGTTGAACGCAAATTCTTAATAAGCATTAAGCACCATTAAAATATAACATAGTAATATAATATAGTTTTTAAGTTTTTTAAACATTTCGGGGGGGGGGCACTAGGCCCCCCTATATACGCCACTGATATTGCTATCAATAAATACGTTAGCAATAGCATTACGATAGTATCATAATACTATTATTATATGTGAGTATCGGTGTGTTATTATGATAATAAAAATTAACTTAATTAACTAACTTATTATGTTCATGCTATCGTATTGACGTCTTGTAATATTTCATCTACAGACTACAATAGTACACACATTATACGTACAAAAATATATTTAAGTGTTGTGTGGCTGTTCACGCTATGGATCAAAACGTCTGGGATCAAATATGCTCAATAATTGTTTGGGACTCTACCATCAACAACGCTAGAATCAGTAACGTTCTACAGTACCTAAAGTTCTTTGCTGTTCCCACGTGAACGAAAACCAATGTTCGACTCGTTCGCGAATACGCGGGGGTATATTCAACTTCCTCAAATACTCCAGTGTCTCGTCTTGCAGTTTTCTGTACTCGGTTTGAGATCTGGTGGCCGTTGCTATTATATCTCGGATCTGCAGTATCCGTAAAAAACAACAGGCAAACGAAAAAAAAAAAAAAATAATAAAAAATGTATATTTAAAAACGTTTGATAACGCTTGTTCATATAATATAATATTTTGTTTCACTTAGAAGATGGATTATGTTGATATATTTAATTACTCTGTAAACGAGTAATAAGCATAATATATTAATACGTTGAGTCGTACGCAATAGTTATACCTGTCCGATTAAAATTGCAAACACGAAGACTCCCATTAGCCAGCTGGCTGTCATGAACAGGTACTCCGCTTCGTTTTCGGGATGTGGATTTTTCCCGATGGACGTTGCCGTTTTTGTAGCGAAGAAAAAACACCGTATGTATCTGTGTAGTAAAAATAAGACGTTGTTGAGGTATCACAAAACGAAAACCGAATTTGTGACAGAAAAACAGATTTTGCCCATATTCAAGTATTTGGTGCGAAAGTCTCTGCATTTTTATCTTTCCTCTTCATGAAAAATACACACTCGGTAATTGCACAAAATATAAAAATTGAAAATATATTTTATTCTCAAATTTAATGGCATCGGAAATAAATTCTATACACCCCACCGGTTCATTATGATGGGAACTGTCTTGGAATAAATGACGATTGAATTGGTATGTTCTAGTAATACTCACGCGTTACCCTGGCCGTTGAACACCCAATTATTAGTTGCAAGTCCTTCTTTGACGGATACATAGTAGTAAGCGCACGCGTTCAAATGCACCAAGTAGATCATGTAAGTTAGAGTTCTTGTTACTCGTACCACATATGGTGATGATAAAACGCTATCGAAATGATCGAAGAATTCCCAAAATGTTTGAATCTTTATAAAGAATTAATACAAAAATTTAATACAAAAAAATTTAAAGCATAACTTTTTTTTTGGTATCGCTATTTCATTTGTTTAAATAATTTACTTTATTTTGTTTTACCTTTATAATTCTATTTAGTCTCATCAAAGGTAATATTTCTGAAGTCAACCATGGTGCAAGACACACAATGTCGGCTGGCACAAGAGATATTATATCCAACTAAAATAAAATCATCAAATTAAACGCATTCAAAACATTATTATTACTACTATGTGAATATTAAAATTGAGACATAAAAATTAATATTTTTCTATGTATACATAGTATATATATATATAAATTTAGTATTTATTTAATTAATATTTATTAATACAATATTTATTTATAAATTATTAATTTTTCGTAAATATTTTCTATATTTCAAAAATATTGAGTGTAGGAGTTGACGCATAATTGTAAAACGTAAAGATTAAGTTAGAAAGGTTTTGTAAAGATTTTGTATTTTTGATAGACTTTTTCTTATGTATTTAGTCTAGTTGAATTTAATAACATGTGTTACTACTAGTTTCAGATAAATTACGTATAAAATATAAATTGTATACATTGTTTAACTTAAATTTCTCATATTTGAAAGTTTCTCAATTTTTTTGTTTTTGAGCAAATAAGTAATCACGATGAATATCATTATCAAACTTATGTTTTATGATTTGAATGAAAAATATATATGCAGCTACTGATATTTATTTTATAAAATGTTATAAAATTACAAAACGCTAAAGAAGTGCAGTCAGAACACTACTCCTCGTATCAAAGCGGTGTAGTCGGTAGGTGTCCTCATATTTTGATATTATTGTTCGATTAGTGAACAATGAATATTACAGTGCAAGGCGTTGAGTTAATATTGTATTATGATATAAAATGTAAATAGTGGAATATTTCAGTATAAATTAAAACGCTGAAAATATTTCGTGTATTTTTTTTAAACTACGACAATATCTTCAGAAACGGTTTGCTTTTTATGCGATGTTTGTCGAATTACTTCCGATTTGATTTTACTACGTTCTATTTACTTTTGACTGGAGCTTTTCCAAATAGTTGACTTCGATGAGTTTTAAGTCACGCACCCAAAACCCGTCTTTAAGGTACATAATACGGGGTTTGATTACAAACGTATCCAACAAATAAATCACGTCTGTGCAATAATCTAACAGCATCCACTTCCACAAGTTTTCCTGTGTTTGGTACGGAAACGTTATGCGCAGCGGTATTACCCAACAGTTGTATAGGTAGCACATGGTCACCAGGCTTAACCACGTCACGTAACAGAAGCCTACACAGAACATTTGTTATAGATTGGAATCAATCCGGTAACTGACGTCGTTTTACGCGTAAATTACGTGGTCATTACTCTGAGGTTCGATGATAAAGTCGAGATTGGCGACCCAGGCCAAAAAAAACCATGATCGTTTTTCCAATGATTTTTCGGGTTGCAGTTCGATTGGACAGTCGGACATTTGAAATCTCAAGTGAGCCGAGAGCGGGTGTAAACTATCCGCATCTATATTGTATAGTAATTATAACCATATTTAATTTAATATACTGTAATTGTTCGATATTTTGTGAGTTAAGCGGGTTTCTACTACAAATAACGCATTTAAATTTGGAACATAAAAACACAGAGGAATAAATATCTCCTTATAGCGGACATGGGGGCGAAAAAAATATTGAAAAACCGTTAAAAAATCCAAAATAATAAGCTGAAGTATTAAACTGTATATTATATGTGTATAGTCCACCATAAGGCATTAATAATGAGAGGTAAAGTAGTTTTTGATATTAATTGTCATCAATAAAACTTTATTATGCGTGTTTGTGTAGAATTTTTTTTAAATATCCGATGTGGAGATGATCATTAGTACAGGGTTTAACAGAATACATACCGGTGAAACTCATACTTGACGAAGAGGGTAATTTCTCACTCTTGTCCCGTTCTTTGATGTGTTGTTCGTTTAATTTGTCCATTAATTTGGACACATCTAAACTGTAAAATGAAATAAAAACAGTATATTACTATAAATTTGTGAACAATACAGGCGAAATTAAAAAACAAAATTTGACAGAACAATTTCTCCTCCTAATAATACGTATACACTATAAATGAGTATACAGCTATAAATCGCGAGAAAGAAATACATTATTATTAATTAATTAAATCGATCGATAACACAAGATAGTAATTTTGTTATTGAAAATAGTATTATGTATACATTTGATAAAATTATTAAGTATTTTATTTAAAGTCAAAAATATATTATTGTCAACAAATATGTATATATCATACCACGAGGTTCTTTCAACTGGAGAAATTGGCGTGGTAAATGTTGAGTTCAGTTCACCAGACCCTGCAGAAGAACTGTCGTTTGTCATTGGCATAAATTCAGATAACCATGGTTCGTCACCGTTATCGTAATCGTACTGTGGCGGTATTCTATCCATCTATAATTCATAATTATAGTTACTATTTAATTACAATGCAAACGAAGAATTAATTACAAAATATTAAGTATTTTTATTTTTTTTACGCCTATTTCCGAATTATAGATAGAGTCGGATTTAGCATTTGTATGCTCACAAGCATTATACAATTTTGAATATTCTAAGACTTGTTTTATCAAAGCAGTTTATATACCTTTTAAATCAATTTGATTTATGATTGCAGATGGAAAAATCAAATATAATACTCAATTTGTTACTAGAGTTTTATACACATATTGTATTTTTTTAAACACCGTGCAATAATGTAATACTTAGTTCTATACAAATTAAAATACGATCATTATATGTATCCTCGATTACACTTATAAATGTGTCTGATAATTCAGTAAAAATAAATATTTCTGGTATAAGTACAGATAATCATATCAGATTATATAAGAACATTTTTGAAATTAATCTTATTAAAATAAGGCACTAAAATAACTCATGTTTTCAAAAGTTATTTGTAAATACCTAAAATGGTATATTGTATCTATTCTTATATCAAAACGTCAAAAGGAAAAGTCATAAAACAATGAATATTTGACAATACCAATACGTGTACATACAATAATCATAATAAGTATCCTGAAAATAAATTAGGCAACCAAGAAATCAATTATTAATTCTTTAATCTTCAAGGTTATAAGTTTATAAGTTTGATCATAACTTGGACCGCCTCGAGAAAATTAAATTGAGTTAATTTATTAACTCGAATAAGGCACTATTATATTAGTTATTTTAAAAGATTTTCGACATCCGCAAATTATTGTTTTTACATAAGTATCAAGTTCCAAACAAAAAAATGAACATTATTTACGTAATTCGTGGTTTAATAACGGAACTTTTGCATTTGCTCGAAGGAATCGTATGCATCATTCAATCAAATATAGGACCTTAAGTGATGAAAGCGATATTGAAAGACAAAAGAAAGTTTTTTTTTCGTTTATTATTGTTTGAGTTCGTACCTTATATATTGCGAAGAACGCCGTCTGGTTCACAGACAGTGTGGTAATAACAATGTGAAATATTAGTCAACTATAATAGACGAGAGGGTTATGCAAAAGTAGCTAGGACACCCGTAGTGTCACAGTCCTAAATCAATGGATTTCAATGAAAAGATGATCATGGACAACGTATACTGCAGGGCTTAGTTGCTATTGCTCATAGAACAACGGAAACACTAACAGTCACACTGCGTAACCTACTTATAGGACTTCACTACTGGATTACAGTGCAAAATATTTAAAAAATAATGTATTTTTATAAGTTACGAGTATTATTAATTGTTATCTAATGAGTGGAATTTTCAATCAATTTAATCGTCAGTTATCGAATTGTTATGGACATTTTTTACATTATAGCGATTTTTAAAACATATTTAATATTAATATTAATATTAATACTTAAATTTAAATATTTAATTGAAATTCCGATATTATATGATTATTTTCTGAATTTATTCAATTACAGAGACAATTTTTTAATACATCTTGAATTGTATTTGTCATTATGATAATTTGTTATATTTGCTATTTAGATTTTTACTGTATTATATATTTTAAAAAACGTACAACAAATAAATTATTCAATTTTGTAAAAAAAATTAGAAATAAAATATTTTACAAATTGTGTAGTAAAAACCGTCAATTACGGATTCTAAGAAAAATATAAATCTGTAATTTATAAATGTTCTTAGCTCCTTGCAATTCCGTTATAAACATTTTTCAGTCTAATACACGATTGTTTAATTTGAATTCGTAATCATACATACAAATAAAAAAGCATTTTTAAGCTACTGATTAAAATGATAGATAAATTAGATTAATGAAATGCACTAAAATAACCATTCATTTTAAATCGTAAATCGTTTAAGTTATGAGTTATCGTTTAAGTTTAAGTTAAGCCGAAAAAAAATGTTTTTACTTGACTTTGATGTTTGCAACACCACATAGAATTTAGATAGCTCGAACCGACAGAATTTATAGAATTTATAATTAATTATTATTCTACACAAGTGTCTAGTATTTTTAAATATTTTGTCGGTTCGAGCTATCTAAATTCTACGTGGTGTTGTAAACACCAAAGTCATGTAAAAACATTTTTTTTTTTTTTTGGCTTAAGTGAAATTTCATATATGAACATTTTAATTGCTTTATGTTTAAGTATTTTAATAACATTGTTTTTAACCTACATAACACTGAATCTGACTTCATCAGCAAATATAATATACTTATTATCAAATGCTATCAATATAGTCGGAACTATAACTTAAGCAAACCTCACTACTGTGACCTAATTTAACTGTTCCGAAAACCGTACTAAAATTGAATACAACTAAAATGTTATGATACAAAACCGGAAACGGAGTTTATTAAATCTCATAGAACTATACTCGTAGTCGAATTCGTAACCAGTATTCAAGGCATCGCGATGTATTGCGTTTGTACGACGTTGGTTTGGAAATATTAATTTCCATGCTCGTCAGTTGTATGATATGACGAGCACGAGGCAGCGGAACGTGTGCGCTTTGAATGGAACAATCGTTACATTTATCGCTGTTATTATGATGTTAATCGTCGAACTCGAGAAAAGCTGTTTTTTTTTTCTACCGATCAATTAAATACCCATGGTTCGGATGAAAAACCAATGCCCGCTGTTACGCACATGTCAAATGTACGTGTCGACAACAATAACGTGATGACGAATAAAACAATAAAACACTGTACGTTTCGCCGGCTACACAGCTGTTGGTAAATACGTTTAGAAGCTGTGCGTGCTGCTAATAAATCAACTTTGAACACGTTGTATCCACACACACACACACGCACGCACGCACGCACGCACACGAACACCGGTGAATATATGTGCAGTAACAATGCAGTAATAATGTGTTTACTCACTTTTCGCGATCGTTTTGGAAAAAGAGGAGAAAACGACGAGAACTGGGCCGAAAAACGCGGACGATGGATACCGTAACACTGTATTTGCGTTGAACGCGCGGTGCGCGCGCGTTCCACGCGTACGGCCGCGGGGTAGTACAGGGATGAACCGAGGCGGCGCGCGGACAGATGGGAGACGCGAGAGAGGAAATGTTCTCTCCCGGCCGAATCGATAAATCGCGCGGACGTTGCGTGCACGCGGCACCCCGAACGGTAAACAAACAACGGATTGGATTTACCCGTTTAACTCGTGTCGCGTTATCATTTACAGTCGTTTCGATGATACGCGGTCGCGCGTTTTTGGGTCCGTTCCGTTGCCCCGAGACTTCGCACGTTACGCACGTTTTGTTCTTGTCGCGCGGTAGGGTTTTCACTTGAATTCGTTCACCGGAAAAAGTGTTCATGTTGCAGTAGGTCAGTTCACGTGCACTTTGTCCCGTGGCGTGGCGAATTTTGTTCCCACCGATTTCGGCAACGTTCGATCGTCCGTCGCACGTACAAAATAATACTTCAACAAACGTTACGATGTGTTTTGAACAATGTTTTGTTAACCAATCCGTCGGGTAGATCCTGTATAGATCTCAAAATGAGATATGCGTAGTATTATTACGGAGTTGTTGCTCTAAAAAGCATTTGATTGCATTATTGCAGTAAAAAATATCCAGAGTTGCACTTAAAAAATTACAATATAATTTTTTTATTCACCAAAATAATTTAAAAAAAAAAAAAATCGTACAAGTATATTTTAATAAGACTATCATGTTACAAATATGTGGTTTTTTTTTACAAAATATTTTAAAATATCCATTTATATTAGTACTCAGTGGCGTATACAGAAAATATTATCGGGAGGGGCTACTATGGACAGAGTTAAATTACTACTGCTATCTAAGAATTATTAACAAGATACAGTAGGTACTTATCTACGTTTCATTTACAGAATGTCCCGAAATGATTTGACGTTGAACACAAATTCTAAATAAACATAAAGCGCCATTAAAATATAACAAACGTTTAAAATTATTTTTAAGTTTTTTTAAAACATTTCAGCGGGAGGGGTGTAGCCCACTATGCCCCCCTCTATCCACGCCACTGTTAGTACTAAATCATATTTTTACTAGAGTAAGTTAGTCTGGTCCTTATAAAAATTTAAAAATGTTATATTTGAAAAATTTTCATTTTATAACACATATTATATTTTATCTACACATTTGTGTGCCTACCTTAACAATGATTACGCTGCTCGATAAATAATTTATTTAAGTTTTCAAATTCAAAAGATTTTGGATTTGGGTGTCGTATCTTTTCATGTCCTTTTATTTTTTTGTAATTCTAAAGCACCACTTTATATATTTATTCAATACTACATTACTACTTTAATAATACTATATCTCTTATTTCATAGAACTTAAAAACTTTCAGGCAATATTAAAATTTACATAGATTATATAGATAATATATAATAATATAATTATATAATATATAATATAGATCCCATGGTGATAATTTCTTTGACGATATTCTCGAAAAAGAAAAAGGTTACAAATAAATATCACCAAAAATTCAAAATGAAATTATTTGTATTCTTGATGAATTAATTTTAAAAGAAATAGTAAATACAACTGAGGGGTTTGCAATTTTAGCTGATAAAATAAAGATGTTGCTGCAAAAGAGCAATTTATATTACGAGTATGTGTTCGTTTTTCAGACAACAAAAATATAATACATGAAAGCTTTCTTTAATTTGTTATTATCCATAGTTGAACAGATGCCGGCCCTGCATTAGCTATGATAAATGGCAATGATTTATTAAAACTCTGAAAAAGTTGAAAATATATTTAAGAGAAACACAATGTCTGAAGTTTGAAACATAATAAAATTTTTTTAATATTTTTCATATATTTTCAGTGTTAGAGATTATATTTTATGACTAATTTTTACTTCTTTATTCCGCAGAACTCTTTAAATGGTCTTGCTATGTTAGCAATCTACATATTAAAATATTAAAATATAAAAATTTATAGTAAATATATACATAAAAATATAATTATATTATATTATATTTTAATATATGTATATTAAAATTGACCCATAGGAAGTTGTCAATAAATTAGGACTAAAGCCACGTAGAGTGGATCTTTTATTTTGAATTTCTTATAATATTATAAAATATTTATTATAAACTTTTGTAGTTACCAATAAAGTATAGACACTTAATTCTAGTGTGAATATTTAAATACGTATTATGTAATTATTTGTTTCTATGTGTGAATAAACGTATACATGTTATTACATTAAGCATATCATTACGACAGTATTGAGAGGTGTTTATATATACCAGGTACTTACATTTTATTTATTTTTTTTTAGTTTAGGGAGAGGGAAATTGATAAACCCTGCAGCAATTTCACCCCCTACCCTACCACAAATATGATAAAATTACATCACTGACACTACTCTACATGAAATGCATTTGGTTGGTGATTTTATTTTGCTTGAGGTGTTCGTGTATAAGACTTCGATGATCAGTTCAGTCGATTTAAAATTATTTCTGTTTTTCTTGACGTTTTTAATTATTGTCAGGAATTAATAATTCGTTTTATTTCTCTTGTTTTGTATTTTAGTTTGACCAGTATTTATAGTAAAATTATTATGTATGTAGTTACATAGTTACTGTTAATGCTTGTACTCGAAAAGTTATTTTTAAGATTATTTTTGATTTCTTAAAAATCGATCATACTCGTATATATTTTAAACACATACAATATCTAATTATAAATCAAAAAGTTTCATAAGTTATACTCACACTAATAAAAATATTTATTTAAAGTTTTGAATCAATAATAATAATTTATTTATTTGTCAATAAACTTGTAATATGATAACATAAATAAAAGCGATTGTTTGAATACTGAATACGTGAATACTGAATATATTATCCATCAAATACAAAAAGGGAAATTATTTTCTTATTTTAGGTACAATATTTTGAAAAATTAAAATTATTTGATGTTTTAAGCATTTTTATTTTCTTATAATAGAAATTATTTTCCAAAAGCTAAAATTTTTTATGTTATAAAATCCACCAAAAATCTTAAATACATACCTATCTTATTTATCTATATATGTATAAAACGCAGTCATTATTCTATCAAACCTTCTACTAAAATGTATTCTTTTATTAAATTTTGATTGTCGCCAATTATTGTTTAGTCATTAATATTTAATTTCTTTTAATTTAATTTTATTAATAAAACGTAACTCTCTATTATTTGTTAAATACAAAAAATATTGTAATACACATTTACAATAAAGTAATTTTTTTACTAACAAATAATTTTATGAAGCATGATTTTCAAAGATTAATTAATGTTAAAAATCTTTCTTGTATAATTACTTGATCAATAAAACATACTCAGGCTTCACACTGACAGCTAATATATATTTAAAACTTGAAGGTAACATATAACATTAAACATATCATTCATCAAAAATGAAATAATATTAGATTTCAATCTATGGAAAGAATTACATTATTTTTGTATTATATCTCGTAGGCATTTATAAGAATATTATACAATATACATATATCCTCAGCAGCATGACGTGCAAAGCTATTGTAATATTTTGATATACCTATTTGTAATATTTTTTGTTGGAAAATAATTTTCGTTTATAAACATAGGCTGGAAAATATAGATATTAATTATGAATAAAGCTTTTGAACTGTAATGCTATTGCATATTTTTCTAAAATGTTTTATGGAGTACAACAAAGAAAGCATATCCGTTTCCAAAAAATGTATTCATAAACTTTCGAAGTTTTTCAGTTTAAGATCATTTTTAAAATCAGTTTGTACATTTTTGCATATTTTTCAAAACAAATGAAAATAGTTAAATTAACTGTCTTCTAAAATTTGTTTAATGTGGTATCGGTCTCATGAAGAACACTTTAGTAATATATTTTAATTATATATTTGAAACAATAAGTAAAAATATAATCCAAAATATAATTGTTTAAAATATTTGAATACTTTTGGAATAATTCTTCAAAAAGGTCAGTAAATAGGAATCCATAATATTAAAATTAACTGTGAATAAAATCGGAAGATAAACATCCTATTTGAATATTATAGAATATTCTACTATTTAGATCAACTTAAACTATGGATATTTACTTTAAATACATTTTATAATAATCTTATGCAAGTAAAACATATTACATTTTTGATTATTGTAATATTATACCTTATTTAATTTAAACATTAAAGTTAAAAAAATATGCGAAAAAATATTTTATGTTTTTTTTTTTTTTAAGTGAATTAAGAAAATAGGTAGTTGAGTTTAAGAATATAAATATAAAAAGTTATATTCAAAGAATTTAATTTTAATTCTTTGTGAGATTTTATTTCTATAATAATTACATATAATACACTATGTATCAGTGGCGTACATTCAATCTTTCTCTGGTGGAGGGGGGTGTTAACAAAAATAATCGTTATCTATTTTTTTTCATTGTACAAATAAATAAGATAAATAACTGCTATAAATAGATATTATTTTATACAACTTTTTTACCAATTTAGAGTTTATTTTTACATGTATGAGTATGTACGAGTAAAAAATAAAAAGTTTTTTTTCTTTTTTAATAAATATATATGATATTTTATATACTTCAATTTATGCCCGATTAAAAGATTAGAAATTGACATTGAAAGAATTCGGTATTTTAGTTGGAGTTACGCAAAAAAAGAAAAATGTATGTACATTTTTTAATTAGCTGTAAACAATTATAACAACAAATTCGGTCAAATGGATTCGGGGTTATATTAGGTACTTGAGTAGGGGGGTATCCCCGTTCCACGTAGCTATGCATTCGGAGTATATAAACTGTCGAAGCCACCAGTAAAGGTACATTCGACTAGCAATCATGGCTCTTCGCACATCTCTGGTAAGTACCTATTTACTGTCCAAAGTAGCCAAAATATTTTCATTCGAATCATTTAATATTTAATTTAATGTTTTTAAAAGATATTAGTTATTAACATCAATGTAAATTCAAACCATAACTTTTTTATTTTCCGCGAAAAAATAATAACAACCAGTGATAACCGTAAACATTAACATTAATATAACATAATTTATTATAAAAAATCATAATCCATACTCGTAAAATTTGTAACCATTCTAGTACGAGTTATAATTTATTTATTTAAATATTTTTCTAATACCTATAAAACATAATGTTTAGTAATAAATTAAATATAGAGTTAAAACCATTGTAACTAGAAAATATATTTTGCTTTATTATTATTTTCATAAATAATTTTCTTTCGTAATTTAAAATATTCACTTGTAGAATAATATGATAATTTGTATTATAATTTAAGTTAACAAATAAAATAAAACGAAAAAACAAACTTTCAATCAATGTTTTCAATAATTCCAAATTATTACTAATATCATACAAATAATAACAATAAGTAATAACAATTTATTATATTTGAAAAGAACTTATACACTCTTATTCAAAATTTAAATTGAATGCAGACCGCAATGCACTTAACATTGCACTATGTAGTATTTAATATTTATACTCGTAAATATTATTATAATTTCAAAATAATGTATATTTCATGTTTTTTTCTTTAGTTGCTGGTTTCCACGGTGTGTATTATAAGTCGACCCGTAATTGGCGCAGAACTTTCCAAGCTCTCGAAAGTTAAACCAGAGCCCAAAGCAGAAAAGACTGATGACGTCACTGCCAAAAGACTGGTTTTCGGTGCACTTCACCCGGCAAGCCATTTCGGCCTCGGTGGTGCAGCCTCTGGCAGTGGTAGCGGTTACGGTCAGGGCTATGGTTCTGGAAATGGTGCAGGAGCTATAGGCGTGGGAGTAGGATTCGGTTCCGGAGGTGGTGGTGGAGTAGGAGGAGGTGGTGGAGGCGGTGGAGGAGGTGGTCTTGGAGGTAGTGGTGTAGGTGGTGGAGGAGGAGGTGGAGGATTTGGCAGTGGAGCAGCCAGCAGTAACTACGGGGCCACTGGTTCTGGCTTTGGACAAGGTGGCAGTTCCGCTTACGGACAAGGAGGTGGTTCCGGTGGTTTTGGACACGGAAGTGGTTATGGATCTGGAAGTGGTTCCGGAAGCAGTAGTGGTGGATACGGACATGGATCCGGTGGAAGTTATGGAAATGGCTTTGGGGGAGGTCAAGGAGGCAGTTTTGGCGGGGGATCTGGTTCTGGAAGTGGTTCTATCAGCAGCAGTGGTGAAGGACACGGTAGTGGAGGTGGTTTTGGCAGTGGTGGTGGTGGATATGGACAAGGATCCGGTGGAAGTTATGGAAATGGTTTTGGAGCTGGTCAAGGAGGTGGTTTCGGTGGGGGATCTAGCGGTTACGGTGGGGGATCTGGCGGTTACGGTGGAGGATCTAGTGGCCACGGAAGTGGATTTGGCGGTGGCTCTGGTGGTCAAGGAAGTGGCTTCGGCGGTGGATCCGGTGGCCAAGGAAGCGGTTTCGGCAGTGCATCTGGCCAGGGCGCTGGTTACGGCCAAGGAGGAGGTGGATTCGGCGGCGGTGGCGGACATGGTTTTGGAGCTGGCCACGGGTTCGGTGGCGGTTTTGGGCACGGTGGAGGATTCGGTCATGGCGCAGGTTACGGAGCTGGCGGTGGATTTGGAGGTGGAGGTGGAGGTCATGGTCTCTTCGGCCTTCATCACAAACCTCAACTCATCGGAGCCCTCGCACACGGTGGCGGAGGTGGCCTTGGATTCGGTGCCGGTGTAGGTGGTGGCTCAGCAGCGATCTACGGTTAATGCCACAACACGAGTAGTTAAAAATTACTCAAACGAATACCAACAGAACATAATAGTATATCATTATAATATTTATCAAATAGAATTATTTAATCATGCATTAATAATTTGTGAATGTGTATTGATTACACTATCAATTAATGTTTTTTAAGAAATGTATAATGTATCGTTACAGATTCGCTAAACATCTGATATTTTTCATTATGTATCAAACTAAAATATGTGAAAACCATATAGTTATATTATATATATATTTATATTTATTGTGTCTAAAATGTCATACACATTTTAAGTATTTTATTCAAAAGTTTATTGAAACGAATATGTTATTTAGGGTGTTGTTAAAGTATACATAGTTTATTATAAATTATTTAAAAAAATAAAATAATGATGATGTGGGATACATATTTTTGATTATTATATCACTAAAAATCTCATATTTTAGGTAGTATATTTGTCGTAGCCACAATTGATCATTTCATGAAATAGAAATGGCTTTTTCACATTTTGTGAATTACAGAAATATTTCACGATATTGTCATTTTTTCATAAAACGGACCCTCCAATTTGATATTGTGTAGTTTTTCAAAATCTAGTTGTTCCCTTTGTTTATCAAAAATATATTTTATATTTATCATAGTTTTATAATAATTTTTGTTTGTCATATATTGTAATATTGTATAAATATTATATTAGCTTAGTTTTGTTATAATTAAAATAGTAATATATAAATAGTTAAATAAATTACATAAAAATATTTTATTATATAACTTATAACCCTTTATTTGAACAATCTACTGAGTTATGGCAACGACTATTACATTTAATACTACCTTAAATACAAGCGCAAAATTTAGTCTGCAATTTTGCACTTTTGTATGCACAACTCAAAAATCCCTAACCTCCTGATTTTGACTATGTTACCCTAAGTCAATTTGTTTCACTTATCAACTTGATCAATAGATATGAAACGTGTTGTAATAGGCTACATGTTTCCAAAACTAAACTATCCTTTTCATAGGCGGTACTAGACCCTCTTGGCAGGGGGGGCAGGAAATAGTTTAAGTAAAATGTTTACACTATTTTGTCTAAATCTTTAGCCTAGTAATACTATAAAAAAAGTATTTTATTGATAACTATTATTATTATTTTGTAAAATGAATAATACACTTACAAATACCTACATTTATACTATTTTATTTTATAAAATTTTAAAATTATAACTTACCATAATTTACCTGTAATGGTTCTCATAGCGGACTTGAGTGATACATTTGAGAGTGCCCTGTCATTTTTTGGTTATTTTTTCAAAATATGAAGGGGAGGCTATAAACACGTACGTGTAGACCGTGTTATGATTTAAATTCTAAAACTAAAAGCTTCGTTAATGATGTAAAATAATGATTGGTAAAATATACACGTAATTATTATTTCAGACTTATACTGAATACTTGCAATATTACTTACAAAAAACTAAAATTTAATTAATGTGTATGCACATAGATATATTCTTAATTGTAATTATTTAATTTTTTTATTCGCATTATTCACATTAGGGTGTGCCAAGGCACACCTGGCACACCTCGTAGAGCCTATGATGGTTCTTGTATGAAAAAGTCGTATAAAGTTTTTATTTTTTTCTTTGGTTTGTGTTCATAATTTTTATTATAATTAATATTATCCAAAAAACTCAAGAATACTAAATAAAATACACACTTCAAATCAAAGTATAAAATCATACAAAACGTTTGTGATACAGATAATAATAAAGTAATAATAATGGTTTATGATTTGTCAATAATAAAAATAAATTATAATAATATTGAAAATGTTGACGCAAAAAATCTTATCAGCATATCTACATGAATGGCTCCCACGGTTGTAGATAATAATATTATTACTTACAACTTTGCAGACTCTAAATAAGTATGTAATATAAGGGGTTACCAACCAATATTTGAAATGTATAGGGAGAGTAAGAACTCGCAGGGGGGCAGCCGACTACCTTGCCCCTCTCGTAGTACCGCCTATGATCCTTTAGTAAAACGATGTTCAGTTCCTACTCCGTAAATCTTAATTTTTCCTCAAATATGACAGTAATCATTCGTGCAGACCCTAAGACATTCTATAGACTTATAGAATAGAAATTGTGATGCAGTCATTGATATTAAACGCATGAGTTTTAATCAGTAATGAATAACCAAAAAATGCATCTAAATATACTCCACACGTCCAATTTTTTCGATTGTGTTGTTTGTTCTTGTGCTTCTTCATATTAGTTGTGTATTTCTTTAAGATCATCTTCGGCCGTTAACTTTTTAAAATTTTTAGTAATAAATTAGATTTAGGTAATCTAACCTCAGGCTCACAACTAAATAATGCTTTATAAAGAAATCGGCCAAACATGCATTGGAGTGAAAATGTTCTCTAAAATTGGAAATCTTTAATCCTACAGAACATTTTTTAATTTTATTGTTTTTCAACAATGCAAAAATGATATTTTCGACGTCCTGGTTGTTAGAGTTGCTTGATTGCGGCCCGGATCCAGGTAGTCGTATTTTATCCCAAATATAAGTATCCCGATTGCGTCCAGACACACATTAGTTCACAAAATGTTTAATATTTATTTTAAAAGTATAATTACAAGATTGCAGTAACAAATAGTAAAATAGTAAAATAATACATTTTTTACAATATAAAAAGATATGAAATACAATTATGTCAGTAAATAGTCAATAAATAGACAAATATTAAAATAATAAATTGTCTACAATAAAAAAATAGTTAATAGTTGTTGTATACGTCTATGGAAATTACCACGCCGAATATCGGTTATCGTGTGAATCGTGATTACGATAGTTGATTACGATGTCAAAATACGTATCGGACGCAATTGGGATATTTATTTGGTTTTGATAACCACTTAAATAGTAATTCCTACCTGCTATGTACGGGCCGCAATCGGGCGATGCCCCTGGTTGTTACATTAAATACTTCCTTGACCCTGAGAATGTCTTGGTTTTTCATATACAAAAATACATAAGTTTTTTAATTTCGTTAAGTACAAAATTAACAAACCCGCTACCGTTATCATTTTGTAAAACTTTCGGTACACCATAAGTTAAGAAAAATGTCAGTAAATTAGATGTTACTTTATTGAAAAATATATTATGAAAAAAATAATTATAAAACTACGATAAATATAATATATATAGTATATATTTTTGGTACATAAGTTGAGCGACCAGATTATGAAAAATATTACTCGGTGTCAAAATGGAGTAACCGTTTCATGAAAAAGTGACCATATTGTGAAATATTTACGGTAATTCGCAAAGTGTGAAAAAGCCGTTTTCATTTCACGAAATAATCAACTTTTCATCAAATGGTTTGATTAAAAGGCTACGATATTTAGGATATACAAGAAATTAATAAATTATGTTGGAATATTCAATGTGTAAAATATAGTTTGTTATATAATTTGTATTTCATATTTATTATCAATCGATATTACAGTATATATTGCATAATTTACATATCTATATATAAAAAAAATATATATATTTATTAATTCATTAATTTTTAAAATTTTTAAACTCTGTGCTATTATAAGCATCATGTAATGTGTATCATTCATTATGATCTAATAAAAAATAAAATATTAGTAAATGAATAATAATCATTAATGAATATATAAATAATTAAACAAATAGTTTAAGTACATAGAAATAAATAAATGCTTAGCCTGGATTATTATTATATTTGTACAGTATGATCGGTTTTGAATTAAAAATTCATCATCGGTTTAAGATTACAAATTGACATATATCGATTTTATTGACTTTGTTAGTACTTGATGGTACATTTTTAATTTGATATCGGTCGTATTTATAAATATAATAAAACTACAGACAAAGCATTTATTTATATATTTTTTTATTTTGTACATTATTCATTATTACATCTTTATTTTTATTATTACTCGTGTAATTATTGGTACGCAACGTACATCATATGTTTACCACTTCCATTACACGTCATTCCGCGATCGCCGGACTTGAGACAATTTCCAACCATTGTTATTACAAATATATGTATGTAAATTTATGTTACTGATGTGCTGTGAGCCAGCCAGATTATAATGAGAAACGCGTAATCGGCGTGGACGGCTCTGACACTTTTGGCTCCCTCTTGGCCAAATCGACGTCGTGTATACGGAACTCTGTCGGCGGGCAAAATTACCAAGGACTATCTGCGTCAATCAATATTATTATGAGTAATTTTCCTTCTTTATAATGTCACTTCTGAGGATCCGCCGAGGAAGTTTCAAGGCAAGATATTCGCCAGCGGACAAATTTATGTGGTTGGAGCATGCGGTGGCATTATGAAAAATAACAATAAAACAATAAATGACTAACTGACTATTAACTGACTGATAAATATTAAAATTATAAGCTACAAATATATATTCGTACCAGAAAATACGAATACTGTGCCTGATATTTGCTCATATAAATGTGGTTATTGTTATGTCTTATGTTCTATTTTTTTATTTTTTATTAACTATTAAGTCAAAGTTTTGCGCCCCGGCCGATCTTTCCCAGTGAATTACAGCCAAGTCAAACGTAGAGAACATTTTTCTACAATTATGAAGATTTTTTAATATATTTATCTTTATTTTTTCCTTTTGACGACCAAATGTTTTGTGTTTCCCCAATTCTTTAAATTATTAGGCACCAAAATACAGGACTCTAACCCTTGAAAATGGTCTCGGTACCTGGTTGGTAGTCTTGTAAAAAATACTTTTAAAAATGTATGAAAATAATTATGAAAAAAAATGTTTACGAATACTCATTAAGTATTTGAACACTAGTATTTTTTTCTATAATATAACATTATACATAAAAATCGTGATACTAAAAATAAACACAAAATTATATCCCTGGAGTTATTAATTACAAGCTATAAAATAGCAGCTTTATTGGCTTTGTATAAGCTTATTGATGAATTTTTATTCCGAAACCGATCGTAGAATTTATTCATATATTTATATATACATTTATGAGTATTAACCATTTACTAATTTTTATTTTATTGATTTTTTAAGTTGTAATATGTTAATATTACTATAATATTTTAACTTAATATTGTTTATATACAAAATCGGTTTGTTGCAGAATTTGCTTAATTAACACGTATTTTTCCGTAAGAACGAAGTAGAAATTATATAATTTCCAAATTATTTATGTAAATAAACATAAAATTAAAACTATATTATTATGATATTAATAAAATATTAAGAGTACAGAAATAGTCAAAAAATACTTTTCAAATCACAAGTGTAGGCTGTGTATGCAATATGTGTCACATGAAAACGTCGTTAACGATTAGGATATACGAAAAAAACAATTTTTGCCATTGTAATAATAAAATATAAGGAATGCTATTTAAATTTTCCATTTTATCGGAACAAATATTGAATATATTATTATTGGACTATTAGAATAGCGCAAATAGCCACTACATGATAGCTTACTATCCGCACCTCTATTTAATACCATCCCTCTACACTTTCATCCTCTTCATCTTTTTCGTCTACCTATCTACCGCTTCTCTGCACCTAATATACACTAGAGTTTCCTGGCTGTTGAATCCAATTAATGAATATTTCGGTTACATCGAAACATGGCAAAACCGGCAGTGTGCTGATTTCCTTAGAACACGGAACGGACAATCCCGGTCGGTGACTAGCGTTCAACATTGATCACGATTTGAATTCGCCCACTTGACCGTCCATAAAATAACTCAACACGAGTGATTTGAAGTGACCGTAAGATACGATCGACCTATACTAATCTATACAAGTGTAATCTATTAATCTTATATTTAATCAATCGATTTTCAGTACTTCGAAATTCCACGTGTAGAAATCACTTTTATATTTAGGTTAAAACGTGTATTTAGGACAAACATTTGTACGCAATGCAAGTGGACTGATACTAATGATAAACAAAAATGTAGCCAAATTCCCAAACTGCGTATAATCAAGAACAAATATAATTATATTTTAAATACCTAGTCTGAATAATTAAAATTATATTTATTATTCAGACTGTCTATCAAGCATCTCAAAAGTAGAACAGAATTGTAAAAAAACCATTGTATAATAATTGATGTACTAAATTATTTTGAAGTGTAGACTGTATAAATCTAAATGCTGAAAACTTGTAGATGGTACCTAAATATTGTGTGTCCACATAATGTATTTATCGATGTGCAACGGTAGTTGTCGAGTGACTTAATTAGATAGGATTATCCCGCGTCGCACATAACTATTGTAACGACGTGACGGTCAAAATAATGTATGAATTTATAATTATTAGCTCCTATCGCCATCCGTCGGAAGTTATAAATCACGTCACTGAAATACCGGCTAGTGAGCAATTTATAGTGTTTATAATCAATTATATTACTTACATTTTACCACACTACTTTAATTACGATTCTACTATGTTCTATCTATAACAACATAATGTTTAAAAAAATTTTGTTCCATATGCATAAAAGTCCATTGTCATTGGTCTGTGCCGGAGTCTATCCAGGCTCATGAAAAATATTATCTTAACGGTTGTATGCGTGACAATGAATACATTGATACTTAAATTTTAAAAATGTATTCTAAAAAACTTATATAGTTAGAACAGGAATTGGTCGAGTATAAAATACTTGTTAAAGGTTAACTAGAACATTCCATTTCGTGTGGTGGACCTGGTATGTATAATTCTCCGCCTATTATAGTTTCTATTATTGGAGGCACCAATTTTTTTTTTTTTTAATTTTCTGAATATTTGTTCTAATTTTAAAGTATAAAACAGAAAAGAAATTGAAATAACCTTTTTTTTTAAACAAGTGTTTATGTTTATTTTGTTGAAAAAAATGTATAGCATATCTTGTGCTGTCTAATCGAAAATTATTCCTAATTAAAATTAAGAAAATCTTGTTTAAAATTAATAAAAATATTTATACATCACAAATATTGACGTTTGATAAAATTGTTTGGATAAAACAAGTACCTGCTTAATATTTTATACTACTATTTCTATTTCTATATACACTAAACAAGCATTTAAATTTTGTGGTTAAAATTAAATTAAAAATAGTAAAATATAGCTATGATATAAGTATAAGTATATTTAAGTAGAAATTATAATTTGATGTACTATGTTGTTACTTTCCACACAGAATGTTTAATATTATGTTTTAGGACTGACGTCCGTTTTTAAAAATAAATTAAATAAATAAAAATAATTATTTGACTAAATTTGGCTCTATTTCGAATGCTATGGACTTATCGATTAGTATTTTATTGTTTTTTATCTGCTATATATGTCATAATATGTATGTAATATTAAATGTATTAAGCATTTATATTTTTTATATTTAGTTAAGATAATATAATTATTAATTATAAGTTATTAACGGATTTATGGCATCTAACGTGTTTATCGAATATTGTAGAAAATTATAAATTTTTTTAGTAACTTCCAATTGCAAATGTATTAATTAGTTATCCATGAATGGATCATTATCTTACAGTGGTAACAATACACCATACACCAACAATTCTTAAGAGTAGGATGACCAAAATCATTATTAAATATGACCTATAACCTAAGGGAAATAAAGTATTATTTAAGACGTCCTGGGGTAATTCAGATATGTAATTATAATGTATAATCGTTTTTATATAAAATTGTTGTATTCAATTTATGTGTTAAAAATTTAAAAACTTATCGGAAATATTAAATATATTTATAGTTATTTGATATTAATAAAAAAATATAGATTTTACTATAATGGTTAAATTATAGTTAGAAAATCGGTATTTATCTGGGTTTAAACATTCAATGTGAAATGACTGTGAATGATAATTTTATTTTGGCATTGTGAGTATTTTTATTAAAAATTGTAAATAAGAAAATCCACTTTAATAAACCATTGTAAAGAGTTACCAACTTATTATGGAGCTTTTACAGTTAATATATATATATGTATGCTTTAGAATTTTACATTAGCATGCTTCAAATAAGTTGTAAAATTATTTTTCCTATTGTCAAATATTACCTACAAATATCTAATACTGTAACTACAAATTTAAGCTGTAATACATAATAGGTTTTGCGAATAATAATACATTCGTTTTTGTTATTATACACTAATAGAATATGTTCTCACAAATAAGGAAATCAATTAAGAATACGTATATTACTCGTCAAACAAAACTTCAATGAATTACGTTAGCTTGTATAATAAGATGGCATTGAAGTGAAAATATTCGGGGTGTTATTGCGTACATAAGTAGGGGGTCGTGTGTCCTCCGTTACTGTCAGATATTTAATAATCTCACAGTATAAATATCCATAATTTGTTTCGTAAAGATACATTCAATGATTAATCATGGCCTCTTGCACTTTAATGGTAAGCATTTATTTTCACATAGTTTCTAATCTTAGGTGAAATTTTAATATTTAGAATTATATTTTTAAAGTTTTAGCTGTTATAGTTTATAATTTCATCAAAATATCTTTTATTTCTGAACAGATTATACTTAAATGAATACATTTTAAAACCTATTCGAGTTTATTATTAGAACATTTTAATCATCGGATAATTTAAAATAGTACCTACATTTTTAAAGATTTCAGAATTCAAGCCTAACTACTTTGGATATCTTAGTTCGAAAAATATCTAACAATCTAATAATGTAAACAATTTTGAACTAAGTGAAGTGTATAAATTTAATATATTTTGTTATAAGTTGTAAATGCTTTGCTGTTTTTTTAGAACTATATTAAATTATTTATGTATTGATTCAAAGCAGTTAATATGGGTTGTTAGTTTTTAAAATAGCTTAAAATATAAATATAAATGCAACCTATAACATTATATCAAAGTGTTTATTTTAATTAATTAATGTTATATTTATTTAAAAAAATATTATGTATCTATAATATATTGTTTTATGGCGTATTAATGCAAATTACATTGAAAAATATAAGTTACAACTGTTTTTATTTTGATTCTGTTGTAGTTTGTGGTATTCTTCTTAACATGTTTCACCAGCCACCCTGTAATAAGTATTGAGGTGTATGAGAAACCAGAAACAAAATCATCTCATTCTACAGTTTTAAATAGTGCTACGTCAGTAAAAAAAATTCCCTTAGTCAAACAAAGTTCTACCGGAAACGCTGCTCATATTTCTGGATCTATCAATGGTTTTGGCCATGGTGGTGGTGAAATTCATGGATTCGGACAGGGACATGGATTTAGTGGTTCATTTGGTAATGGTGCTGGTACCGCAGGGGCAGGTCATCATGGTAGCGCAAACGGAGTAAATGGATTTGGAAGCAGTGGAGTTGGAGCTGGAAGTGGAAATGGATTTGGTAGTGTATCTGGCACTGCTGGTGGAACTAATGAATTTGGAAACAATGCAGCAGGAGCCGGAAGCGGTACTGCATTTGGCAGTGGATTTGGAAGTGCTAATGGAGCAAACGGATTTGGAAGCAGTGGCTCTGGGGCTGGAAGCGGTATGGGATTTGGAAGTGGATCAAATGGTGCAAATGGATTTGGGTCTGGATCAGGTGGAGGTTTTGGTGGAGGAAATGAGTTTGGTGGTATTTCAGGTAGTGGTGGAGAAGGGTTTGGAAATGGCTTCGAAGGCGAAAATAGTCAAGCTATGGGTAATACATTTGGAGCTAATAGTGGAACGACATCTGGAAATGGTTTCGGAAATGTTAATGGAGGATCTGCGGCAACTGGTTTTGAAAATGGATTTGGAACTAATAATTGGGGAACATCTGGAAATGGTTTTGGAGCAGGTAACAATGGGATATCGGGAAATGGTTTTGGTAATGGTGGAGGATCTGGAAATGGTTTTGGCATAAACAATGGTGGAGGATCAGTAAACGGTTTTGGGGCAGGTAACGGAGGAGGATC